CCCAGGATCACGGCGTGAGAGCTTGGGAATGCTTGGACGAGGCCCCCTGTAGGTCAAGAAAGGAGTAGATGAGGACGGGGATGGAGTTGACAGTGGTTGCAATGGAGGGGGGTGTGCTCTCGGAGGCGGCGCTGGAGGGTAGGTGATCCTTGGCTGAGGAGAAGTGAAACCTGGCCTAGATTCATGTGGGGGGATGATCTTACTCTCCTGTGCAGCCATAGACTCCCTCTTCAGATCCTGGAGCTCTTTCAGCATCGTATCGATGCGGTCCGCAACTGGACCCTGGCTGGAGACAGACTCCTCCTTGAACACAACAGGAGGAGGTGGTGGAGGCCAGTCCTCTTCCTCTTCAGCAGGGGGTGGCTGGAGATGAACAGCAGGGGCTCTGGGCGGTGGACTGAGCTGCAGACTCTCTACACGGTCCAACAACTGCAGCAAACTAGCATGAAGGGCCTGGACATTAGCCAGCCCAGCTTTCATCTGGTCATGCGACTGCTGGAACAGGAACCTTTCACGTTGTATATCTTCTAATTCTGCTCTCAGTGGTGTGACATGACCGTGTGAGCGGTCATCAGAGGGGTCAGACGGAGGATGGTGGGAAGAACGGGTGTCGCCTCCTGTCTCACTTTCCTCCTGGTAACCTGCACCAAGCCCGGGAAAGTCAGTCTCATAAGCTTCATAGCGGAGGGGACGCCGTACATTACGCCGTGGGCGCGCACCAAGAGCTGAGAAGTTCTGAATATCATCCATCTTGTTAGGGTAGAAGCAGCTTACATCCGGCTCGAAGGACCATTAATGTTGGGTAGATAGCTTGTACTGGAAGGACTGTAAGGTGCTAGTTCAGGTTTGCAGCTACCACTCCCCGGAGTGTCGGCCAGAACACTGCTCAAGGCCCGGATGAATGTTCAGAAGGGAGACAATGAAGACACCGAGGATAGTGCAGACTCTTGTATTGACTTCACACAGTTGAAGGTAACAGAGGTTGTCAGAGGAGCAGGTATTGCATACAGGTTTAGGTGCGTGGGCATGGATGTGTGTGTGTGTGTGTGTGTGGTCTCTGAACGGAACAGAAAGGAAATGCTACATTACTAAAGTGTTCACAACAATATCTCCAGAGTACATCAACATAAACACAGGCAGGAAATAAACCAACATCCCCTTTAATACCATAGGCCATATATTACCCACGACTCACACGTAGACCCCCTGAGAGAGCTAACCAGGTACACAGCTATACCCAACCACACGGCAGGAAAGTTAGCTTAGCTTAGCTTAGCTTAGCACCCGCTAGCGGCACAGACAGAAACATAATCATTTCCCCCCTAACCTTGGTTACAGTCCCAAACACATCTTATTATCACATCCTCACACATCACCAACTTACGTTGCTCATTAACGCACACTTCTCACGGGATAACCAATTCTCTGCCAGTAATCTGGAGCAGAAAAGCTCAGGTGCTTTGCCCACGTCTCTCCCTGGACATAGTCTCTCATACAAAGCGGTGGGGTGACCTCTACTGGCCACTCTAAAAACTACAGGTGAACTAACAACTGAACAGAATAAACCCATAACTACGGGGCCTTTTGTACACTTAGAGTAATATAAATAGCCTTGTATCAAACTTAACAGAGGTAAGGGGATCGCCTTACAGACCTTGTTATATTCTCTAAGGGAACACTGAATGTTAAACTTTGCATTGAAAACACCCACTGGGAGAAACCGCCCCCTTTCATTAAGTAAATCTGTTATAAAGATTATGTTTTTTTCATACCACTCTTTAATGAACAATGACTTCCTATTAATTGTAATGGTCCTGTTATTCCACAAGGTGGAGCAATGTGGCGTGAAGTTATGGGCAAAAAACATTTTCCAATAAGACAAGACCTGCTTATGATATTCTGACAGTTTCACAGGCAACTTCAATATATCAAAATCACATTTCAGGAGAAAATCCAACCCTCCCACCTTTTTGAAAATATTTTTAGGGATATGGAACCATATGGAGTCAGGTTTCAAGAGGGAGGCTTTTATCCAGTTAATTTTAAATACTCCAACCATTGATTGAAAATCAATTGTCTTTATATCACCTTTGGTGTAATCTTTGACGAGTTGTGATTTTTTTAATGTAATGTGTTTTATTGCGCCAAATGAATTGATAGATTATGGAGTTAATCTTTTTAATACTTTTTGAGGTAATGTATAATGAGTAAGGTGGATAAACCATCTTTGAGACACCCTCTGATTTGGATAATATATTGCGTCCAAAAATTATGATATCTCTCATTAACCAATGATTTAGTGTTTTGGACATACCATCAATTTTGTCTTTTAGGTTATTTGACTTCATTTTTCACTGGAATTGTCCTCGTGTTATTTTCCAAACAATCATAAAGTGGCAAAAGTTCACACTTCTTTAGATTCAGACACAAGCCTGAAGCTTTAGAAAAAATTTAAATTACATTCCACGCTTTCTCGGGTATTAATTTATCCTTTAAAAATATTACTGTGTCACCTGCAAACTGACTTATTTTCAGTTCAGTACCAAAAATATTTATTCCTTCGATGCCTGAATGGTTCACAATGAGGTAGGCCATTAATTGAGTGCAAAGAATAAATAATTTTGGAGAAATTGGGCAACCCTGTCGAATTCCACGGAATACGTCTATCCTAGGTGTTATACCTGGATTGAGCGAAACATAACTGTAAATCTGCTTGTAGAACAGTTTGATCACGTTGCAAAATTTGTTTCCAAATCCAAAAAGTTCTAAAGATCTAAATAGAAAATTATGGTCTATTGAATCAAATGCTTTAAAAAAGTCAATAAATAATAGTAAACTTTCTGAATTGATAAAGGATCGGTAGTCAATCATATCTAATATTAATCTTATGTTATTATGAATCTGCCTTCCTTTAATAAACACTGATTGACACTCATCAGTTAGTTTGGTTAAGACGCTCTTAATCCTATTTGCATATGCTAAGGCTATCATGTACACCTCATCTAGTTGATTTTGTAAAGATTGTAAGCATTCTGACTCTTCTGCAGTCATACAAGGCTTACCACATAATAAATGTATTTGTTCGATTAGATTTTTCTGTTTACATATGGGTAGGGCAGACACTTTCTTTCCCGTTTCTATAGCTAGTTGTTTGACACTATATTTAAACCATTCCCATTTACTGACATTAGTCATCATCATATTGTTAATTTCTAAATGAATTTTTTAAAACTTGTGTACAGAAATCTTCGTTTTGTAATAAACTATTGTTAAATTTTCATAAGTTCTCATATCTTTGTTGTTTACGTAGATATAATGAGAGACTTATCAGACAATAATCAGTAAGTGGGGTTGATTGGCTTTCACATTTAGTAACATATGATGATACTGTTTGGGAGACAAGCCAATAATCTAGTCTTGAACATACGTTCTTATTTGTTGGACTAAACCAACAAGTCCAACAAGTCACATGTATTTCTTCGTATTTGGGTTTGTCATCCTCCAATAATCCATCATATTAGTTGTTGTACAAAAGTCACAAATAATGCTAGCATGTTCTGGTTGTTTCCCTCTCTGTGGTTGCCTGTCAAGCCATGAGTTAGGTTCCAGGTTAAAATCGCCTCCAGTTATTACCTGGGTAGAACCATATGTATTACTCCAATTTGCAATTAATTTACTTAAGTTTAACATCATGTTTCTATTTAGAGACCTGTTATTGTATCCATACATGGTGATAAGAATAATTTTCTGTTCACAGACTTCTACCAACACCATGATAGAATGCCAATGTCCCATTCCATCGCTTTTATGATCAATAACCTTCCCTGCAAATTTGTTAAATAAAATCATCACTCCTGCTGAGTGAGTAGTGCCATGTGAATAAAGAATACTTTCTCCACATTGATGTTTCCAAAACATTTCCTCTTCCTTACTAGAATGTGTTTCTTGTAAAAACAGAATGTTTTCCTTAATTTCTTTGCAGAATAGAAACATGGCCTTACGTTTGACATTGGGTCTTGCGATTTCTTGTTGAAGTTCCATCTCTTCTATATCTTCCTCCTCACATGCTTCTTTCATAGCAGCAAGGTTGTAATTGTGATCGGAAAGGCTACCTGCTAGCTTGGGGTTAGCCATTTTTATCGCTCTATGTTTATCTTTGTGTCCGTCTAAGGGTCTTTCAAAGTAACTTCCAGGGGGTTTCGCTTGCCTTCTACTTCCTTTTGGAGTAACTGTTTGTCGATAAAGTACTTTTCATGACATCAAAATGACGTTTCCTAATCAGACCTGCAGATTGTACAACCGCTTATTCTGCCCTTTTGGCCCCCCTCTTCAGATCGGGTAGTGACAGGGCTCCGTACTTATTTCAGGGAGAAACATCAATCATACCTTATTTCCCCCTTTTCCCATGCTTCCTCACAGTCACAACATAAATATTATTTTTATAATGTAAAATTAATCTGTGCAGAATTGGTGATGGGGTGTAAGACACATTTCACATAAACATGTGTATTAAAATTCAGGCTGTGTTATAGTGGTGAAAAAAAAAGATATAACTGATCATCATCAAGGACATTAATATAGGAATTGTTTTCCTATAGAAAGAGCGCCATCGTGTGAAAAATTAACTATAGTACACTTATCCTGCAGTCACCATAATCCATTACAGAGAAAGATGTAACGAAACTTTTCAAAATCTGTCTCACTGAAACTGAAGTATACATGGTTAATAATATGGTTGTAACAATAAAAATAACACACTCAATAACATATTTAAAACTTGCAGTTGTATTTTTCTAAAACGTAAATAAAAAATTGAAAGTGCTTATCCCTGATAATAATAATAATAATAATAATAATAATAATATGCACGGAATGCGTTAGTGGAATTACTACAGTATCTTGAAAGTTGTCGTTTCTGTTCGTACTTTTATTTTGAAGGCAGCCCATCGAAACGGAACACTTTGCGCTGGGTCACGTGGCTAGCGTTTCTTTTCCCTTAGCAAAGCTGTAGGTTGCAAGAAGTTCTTCGAGAGGATATATTTGAGAACATCAGAACAAAGGGATTACATACATATAAAGCACGGTATGTACACCGAGTTGTTGTTTTTAAAAAAACAAACAAAAAACAAAACCCTGTAAGCGATCAGCTTTTCCTTGTACCCGCTGTTTGTCGACCTGTGGTGGTAGTTTGTAAACGGGCCTGGAGGAGTGTTGCTTTAGTGGTGGATTTATGGTCTCGTCTCATATCTCACTGCTGCACAGATTTTGCTCAATCTGCCGGATTTAACTCAGTGGCCACAACACATTTTAAATGCATTCATAAAAGGCAGCATTTACAACAAATACTGACAACATGAGAAAAACAACCACTTGTCCTTCACTTATGATAAGCCCCCACTCCACTCCACAGACCTGGCTTGTATTAAAGTTTTCTCTCTTTTAGTGATGCACGTTAATCCCACTCTTAAAACGCTTCCCAGACGTGATGGTATTGGTTACAGTGGTGGGATTTCCATCTCTTTTTGGAGAACCGGTGTCCTGGGAATCCATCCTACCTGACAAACCATCTTACCCGCTGTTTCTGCGCACACGAAATTAAGTGGCAAACCGTCCTACCTTTGTGAATATTATCTAGAAAAATTCAGCTCGGCTCACTAAAAAGATCCAGCTTTTTCGGCTCCCAACCAGCTCTTTCAGGTTGTTTTGTTGCTTTAGTCAAAGTCAACTTTATTTGTCGATTCTGCCACATGTACAGGACATACAGAGAATAGAAATTGCGTTACTCTCAATCCCTAGATAAATAGCAAATGAACATTTAAATATATTTAAATATAAAAGTGATTAAAAATGCAAGTAAAATAATTAAAAAGTAAAAATTTAAATAAATACAATTTTACATATTTATTATTAACAATAATATAAAATTATGCACAAAAGAATTACTAATGTAAAAAAATGGTTTTATTTATATGTTTATATATAAATATATACGGTGGCCCCTAGAGACAAAGCACGTACAAACTCCAAAACACATTTCTAGCATTAACTGAGCTTCCAAAACAGAGCTACCTAGATCACTTAAATAACACAATTGAAAGCATATGTGTATTGTCTGTGTATTTATACACAATTGTTACTTCCTGTTATTGTTACTTCCTGGCTTGTGTAGCCACTAGGTAACAAAAGCTCAACACTGCACCTAGCATTCTGCTGTCTTTTTTACGTGTTTTGGAGTTTGTACGTGCTTCAGAGTTTGTACGTGCTTTTTGGAGTTTGTACGTGCTTTGGAATTGGTATGTGCTTCGGGGTTTGTACGTGTTTTGGAGTTTGTACACGTTTTGGAGTTCGTACGTGTTTTGGAGTTCGTACGTGCTTTGTCTGTAGGAGCCACCATAAATATACTTTTATTTATTCACTCCACATAAAATGTAATAACTAAATAATATAATACAAAAACCAACTATTCACAGTTCAACTTTTAACTATTTAAATTTTCAGCTTTTTCCTTTTACAAATTTAAAGTGAAACAACACAAAACACTGCAAACCACAACACAATTAAATATAAATTATAATATGGAAAAAAAAAAAGAAGATGCACATTCTCTGTCATATGGGCCTGCATGAATAAACTTTCTGAATCCTTTGTCATCTGCAACTGAAAATAGTTGTGGATGATTACTATACCTTTATAATGTGATGTTGTCCCTGGCTCTCTGTCTCTCCCTCCTGCTCTGTTCCTGTGCTACTGAGAGTGGAACTACCTACACTCGTAAGAGCTGTTTCGTTCGCGACCGAAACATCACTAATTGGTGATCAGTGGCCTGGCATTAGACATTAAGATGGAACTATAGATATGATCGCCTGTCATTAACTTGCTCCCATACCATTGATGTGCAGTGAGCAAAAAGCACCTATCCACTGCTGCAGGTGCTTACTTAAAGGCAGTATAAAGACTGCTGCAATGTAGTCAAAGATGTAATCATGTTGTCTGCAGCTGAGCTGTTGGTTAGTTGTGTTGTTCTATATTATCACTTAAAAATCTATATTTTTTAAAACATTTATTTATTTCCTTCTTTTCTCCTATTGCGTTATTCTTCTTTACATCTGGTAGGTGTGTGTATCTGTGCAATTCACTTTCTCTTAAATTACTTTTCAGCATAACATAGCTAACACAAGCAATACAACAAAAACAAAAAACAGTCACAGGGAGGGAAATCTGTTGTGTTCACTTTTGGCCTCCAAATATTGTCATTGTCTCTGATTTTGCCATTGATGTCATCATTGATGTCATCATTGATGAGTTTTGCACTAGATAACAATTTGTCCCTAAAATTAGAGAGCCATCGTAGCACGAACGGAGCAAACCGCAAATGTTCAGTAGTTCGTAGCTGCACTTTTACCAACTAGTTTTCTTTGGAGGTTTGCAAAGATTTTTGACCCAACTACTAAAATTGTCATGAATGAAAAGCAATAACGATGCTTTCTCTCACTGTTGCTGTGTTTGATGTAAGAATTGTTGGGACGCTTTTACTGCACTTTTCAGAACATAACCTGTTGCATATGTGAAAACTTAGTTTGTCAAAAGTACTTGCATAATGATCAGGTACAATGTCTGTACAGACAGCGTACAGATTGATTGAATTATTCCACTGTTCAAAATGATTTTACAGTGACACTAAAGTCACTTAAAGTGCAGAGGGCTAATGTAACCAGTTAAATTAAGCACAAGCGGACAACAGAGCATCAGTAATGGTACTCAACTTTAGTTCCTTATCTCCTGCAATTCAAAATGAGCGAAGGAGTCCAATCTTGTCCCCTGAGGAAACAGAAGATCTTCATGAGCTCCTCTATGCCAAAATCCTGCCGCTGAGCATGCTCTTTTGATTTATTGCGATCATGTTTAGGGGGCAGGAGCATGCATTCATGACTTATGGCAGCACCAGTTGAGGTCCATCTGTGTGCTGTCATTACCAGAAAGTCAACGGCAGATCCAGCTTCCTTCACCAACTTTCCAAGCCATACGTCGTCTCTTTTCTGAATGCTGCCTACTCAGCACACCACCACTGGACTTGGAGGTCATCATAATAAAACTACCAAACCTTCAAAGTTGTGTGCATACGCTTTATTGTGAATTGTGGAACTGAAGCCTCTGGCAAAACAGGCAAAGAGATGAAAACGTATCAGTTTTTTGGGTTGCAATTCAATATTGTGTATGCTGGTATTGGTGTTTCAGTCTTTATTTTATAACATAATGTTTCAGGAGAAAATTCGTGTTACAGATTGACTTTAGTTCGACCTTGTTGGGCACTAATCATGGGTCTTGTTAGAAACATCTAGATGTTGGACGACTAGCGTGTATGTTCCATGTCTATCCACAGATCAGGGACATGAAAAGGATAGAGGAGGATAAGATAAGCTGCTTTGGAAGATCTATTAACCTTATTCTTCTAAGATTAACACCTCCTTTCTATTTTGTTGTTGTTGTCTCCTGTGTCTCTATTGTTAAAATGCCTTGTTTTCTGTGTGTCTCTGTTTTTGATGCTTTTGTTTCCATGATAAGATATGATACTGACAGAATGAATCCGTATGAATGAAGGAATCTTTGGAAAGCAGAGTCTGCAAATTAAGAAGCGGCCTTCCGGATGATGGACCTCATCTTTCCAAGATTCTGAGGCCCAGTACAACTCATTAACCTTTTTTCTTTGTTTTCTTTATTTTGAACTTCCCAGCTTTCCATTGCCATCGAAGCGTTACACCCCTTCTCCTGCACCAGGGCCCCAACAGAGCCCCCTTCTGGGTGGGCTCCCAGGGAGCTTTTTACTGATTGGACAGCAAGCTGCATGCTTGCGGCTGGCTCAGCTGAACGCCCACCTTACTTTGACACAGATAAATAATGCTGTTGCTGTTGGTGGTCGAACCAACACACACGCCCCATTTATACCCACAACACCCCCCTGCCCGACAGCTGCAGCCATCAGTCTACTGAACCTTCTGAAGGTTGCTAACACCATGTCCCATCCCTTATATAACCCCTATGCCTCTGGGAATCAAAGTTCAGCCCAGGGGCGCTATGGACAGTCCAGTATGCAGGCAGAGAGAGACTCTCATAAGACATCTCCTCATCTTGGGCCTGGGTCCAGCTTTAGCTCTTCTGGAGTTTCATCTGCGACTCCTGCAAAATCTGGGGGAATAATGAGCTACAGGCCAGAAGGGAGTAAGACTTCAATGGAAGAGGACATAAAGAGGTCCATAGACATGCATATAAGCAGAGCCAGAGAGGAGGTGAGAAATCAGCCTGTAAAAAAGAACAGTCGTTTTACCAGCACTCAAAGAGATGAGTATGATTCTTCAGGCAAAGATGTGACTTCCTACATGTTGTCCTCAAACTCTCAAAGACCTCCTGATGTTGCAAGTAGCACTAGCTCCATGGACTGGTTGCCAAGATACAAACGGGAAACTGAGGATGATTCGTCTAAATACTGTTCATCATCTGCTTCATTGAGCTATCAAAGCACTGGCGACAGTAGGTTTAATGCCTCGAATGAAAGAGAGCGCAATGTGCAATCAATTCCAGGCTTAGGTGATTATGACTACCCAGTGCCAGACAAACCTGTGGGTTCTGCAGAGTCTACTCATCCCAAGTACACTTCAGAAACAGCTGTGAACATCCTTATGCAGTTTGGACTTGAAAAAGAGGACCTGGAACATCTGATCTCATATCCCGAAGATCAGATGACTCCTGACAACCTGCCTTTTATCTTACGACAAATCCGCATGGAAAAGGCAAAGAGATCTGCAACAGCAGATCCATCAAAATCCTACTATGATCCTCATTCCACCACAAGTATGAGTGGAAGGGAAAGGTTGAGTACTTCAAGAGGGGAAGGGATGCGTCAGGATGAATTGTCACCTATTGTCCAATCAAGTAAAGTGATTGATTATGGACATACTGGAAAATATACTGGGAGCTTTGGGGATGAAATTGGAAGGAGCAGCAGTGGAGCCAGTAGTGGTGGAAGTGGAGGTACGCTGCTGATGGGCTCCTATGATAGTAGCGGTCACAGTCGAGAACCACTGCAAAAAAGTATGACAGAGGTGAAAAACAGCACCTTGGTTTCTTCCCGTGATCAAGGCAGCTCTTTTACCAGTCATGGCTCAATGCGAAGTAGTGGTCCAGCTCAACAACTGCCAACACAACCAAACCAGCCTTCTCAAGAAATCTTCAAAGGTTTCTCTCTGCCAAAGACAGACACAGACTTAAGACCTCTTAAAGCAGAAGTCACTAAAACCCTTCCGTTGAAAAATCCAGAGCCAGATCGCCAGTCAGCATCAAAAAGCCAACTAACTCCTAATATAGTTCGTAGTGTGCATCCAAGTCGACCTGGCCTTGTACTCATTGGCAGCAGCAGCAGCGACAGTCACATCAAAGAAAAGAGTAAGACTCACGGGCAAATATCAAATGTTTCTGAGCAGATGAACAAACAGCAAATGCAGCAGAAGCAGGTACAACAGCAACAGGTGAAACAGACAATGCAACAACCACCACCAAAGCAGCAGATGCAGCAACAGTTGAAGCAACAACAGTCAAAGCAGCAGCAGACGCAGCAGCAGCAGACGGAGCAGCAGCAGATGCAGCAGCAGACGCAACAACTGAAGCAGCAGACGCAACAACTGAAGCAGCAGACGCAACAACTGAAGCAGACGCAGCAGCAGCAGACGCAACAGCAGCAACTGGAGCAGCAGCAGACGCAACAACAATTAAAGCAGCAGCAGCAGATACAACAGCAGCAACTGAAGCAGCAGCAGCAGACGGCCCAGGTACCTAACCTGCCGATTGGGTTGCAGCAGATGCAGAATCAGCCAGCTGTGCATATGGGACAAGCTTTGCAGTCTCAAGTTTTTTCGGCTGCAAAGCCAGTTCCACAGCCGTCCCTCATGCCAGGGCTCACGATGCCCGTTCCTCCGGGTCTCTCGCCGCTAATGCAGAACCTCGTGAATTTCATTCATATACCGCAGCCCGCTTCCACCAAGCAGCTTCCAGCAAAGGTAGAAGTGACAGGGAATATCCCAGTGCTGGCCCAGATGCAAGACTACACTGCCACTTCACCTAGGGTCTTTCCTCATACCTGCTCTCTATGTAACAAGGAATGTACTCTGATGAAGGTAAGTGGAAGATTGTTCGATGTTTTTGCTTTCTGTCGGTTTTTATTTATTTGACATGCAATGTTTTTTGTTTTGTTTTTTATTTGATTTTGGATCGAATTATAGGACTTTGGTTTGGGAAAAACTTCATGTATGCTACTTTAAAGTTTATTTGTTTGTTTTGTTCACTATTCCTGCATGATGGTGACTATAGGAAGACTACCAACTTGGCTTGCAAACATTTGGACAAATTTTTCACATATTTCTGCAATTCAGTATTCTGTACCAGAATTTCTGAAGGATTACAGTGCAGACTAAACTTAACTATATGTCTATCAGATATTGTAATTGAAAAACACTACTAATAAGAGACCTTCAGAATCTTCAGTGGTCTGTACTTGCAATTGATAGATTTAATCTCTTTTAAATTGACATAAACTGATGCGAAGACATTCAAGGCTTTTGCTAACAATGGAACCAAGGCCTCAGATGACGTGATGAGGAGAAACCTGCAAACCTGACGAGCCTGTGCATCAGAAAATGTTGGAAGATGGCTGGTTTTTCATTTGTCTCTGTTCTTGGCTGCTGTTCCACAGTGCACATTCAGCTTTGCTTTTTCTGGAACTGTTGCTGAATGTAAAAGTTCCCCTTTTTGTCTTTTGTCATTAGAGTTAAGAATAGTGTGTTTTGTCCTTTATTTCACATTAGTAGGCACCTTGTTTTTGTGTAATACTCGCTTCTTCTTTTTTTTTTAACTCATACTTTCTTTTTAAGTTAGTGTTTCTGTGTCCCAAAAGGCAACATCATTTACTACCACAAACATAAGCACCCGCTGCGCCCAGTCATGAGCTACACAAGCACCAGATTTGATTTGATTTGTTGTTGAATCTCTCTTTATGGATCGGCCTTCCTTCGCTGCACCAAATTTCACATTTGAGCTCCTCGTCAAAGAAACAGCGCCTTCCTCTTCTGGTCTATTTCAACGTCATCTTCCTGTCGCTACTCCAACTGTGATCGTCATCGGCATTTTGTCCTAATCCAAACTTGGCCTCTCCTGAGACGACCTTCTTGGAGCTTCGGGAAAGTTTGATGCCATAAGAAGAGCCTGAGAGTCCAGAATCCAGAGCCTAATTGACCTTTTGTTTTGGTTGTTTGTAATCAGATGTTTGACTTGTGTTTTCTATATATACTAAATAATTTCACTTTTAAAATTTTATCCCAGGAAAGGTATAATGTGTCACGCTTATTTGTTCCTGGTTTTTGGCCTATGAAGGTTTAAATACAATCCAGGCTCCTGGCTAATGTTATAATGCTTCTGCATTCAGTGAAGGACTAACTGTTAATATTTTAAGAATTTTTTTTAAGGCCACTGCAAAGTTTAGTGACCTTTTATCAGCAAGTGATGTCAATGACAAACGTTGCTCCTGATAATAATAAACCTTGTCTAAATGTTTGTTTTTTGTTGTGACCACTAGGATTGGGTCTCCCACCAGAATACCAGCCTTCACATCGAGAACTGCAAACTTCTGCGAAAGCGGTCAATCTTTCTTCTCTGTACTTCGTGATTATGAACCGATATCTTTGGGGCAGCACAACCATGGGTGTGCCAAAATGATGCCGGGGTTGTAATGCTAGGATAGCTCCCTAAGAACTGTTCATTTGTATTTTTTTAATTTAAAGCACCTTAATGATTTGCAGCATTTACCATGAGCCATTTTCCCTAACCTAAATTGTTATGAAGCTGAATAAATTCTACCTTGCAACATCTGACAAAAATGTATCTGTGTTTTTCCACAGATACCCAGAATGGAACGGTGAAATTGCATCACTGCCAGGGTAAATATCTTCATTTGAAGTCATCTGGCGAAAGCCTGCAGCATTGGAGGCTTTCATTTTCTTTGATTTAACATGTGCCTTTCTTTTTATATGCAATTGTTAGTGCATCAGGTGCCAAGCCCTCTCCCTCAACTTCTGCTGAGACTTCCCAGAAGAAAACCAGACATGAGAGTCGTTCCCGTTCCTGCAGCCCCCGGAGCCATCGTGACTCGGAGCGTAGCAGGGACAGGCAAAGTAGCCGTTCCCGCTCTCGCAGCCCCCGCACTCATCGTGACTCGTTGCGAAGAAGAAATAGACGAAGTAGCCGTTCCCGCTCCCGCAGCCATCATGACCCGGAGCGTAGCAGGGACAGACGAAGTAGCCGTTCCCGCTCCCGCAGCCATCATGACCCGGAGCGTAGCAGGGACAGACGAAGTTGCCGTTCCCGCTCCGGCAGTTCACGTCGCCTCCGTGACTTGGAGCGTAGGAGGGACAGACGAATTAGTCATTCCCGTTCCCGCTCTCGCAGCCCCCGCACTCATCGTGACTCGGAGCGAAGAAGAAATAGGCCAAGTAGCCGCTCTCGCAGCCCCCGCACTAATTGTGACTCGGAGCGAAGAAGAGATAGTCGAAGTTGCCGTTCCCGCTTCCGCTTCCGCTCCGGCAGCTCACGTCGCCGCCATGAGTCGGAGCGTAGGAGGGACAGACGAATTAGTCATTCCCGTTCTCGATCATGCAGCCCCCGAAGGGAGAGACACAGAAGCCGATCACGATCTCCCTACAGCTCCAGACGTAATCGCAGGTCTGTCCAACATACATTTTGAGAACTAGGATCAATCAAGAAGATTTAGCTCTCCAGTGGAGAGGGCGAAATGTAATTTATTTAATAATGTAAACTTAAACACACTTAATTGGTGGACAGTATTTACCTTTTGTATCCATGGTGGTGTGTGCTTTGAGATGTTTTATTTTTATTTTTGAGTCATTAAGTTCTTTGATTAATACTTTTTTCAGGTCCCGGTCTCATTCTGACTCCTCATGGTATGACCGTCCTTCCTCTTCACGATATCGATCACGCTCAAGGAGCCGTGAGAGGCGATCCTTGCCGAAAAGAAGAGATGAGAAACGTTCACCACCGAGGAGAAGCTGGGAGAGGCGGTCGTTGGCAAAGAGGTCATCTCCTATGCGAAATAAGTCGAGCAGCTCGAAGATCTTGGCAAAGAAACTGCTGGAAACATCAGGTTGGAAAATTGCTTCATGGTATTTGGGGTTTTTTTGGGGGGGGGTTTGGTATGTACTCATTGGTTTTTCTAAAAGCAAAGTTATGTTCACTTGTCAACCCCCCTCATAACATTAACTATACTAATGCAAATTATAAATAAAGACCAGTACCACCAGAAAATGTCAGTATCCGGTTGTTCAGTGATGACGCGACGGATCCTACTTCCGGGTCTAAAGTAGTCTGCGTTTAATATGGCTTTTGTGTTGTTAACATGTTTAATGTTATGTATTTTCTTCTATTTGATCTCAAAAAGCTCCTAAAACAGTCGGTGATCCCTGTTGACCTCCCTCGGCTTTTATTACCACTAATCATTTATTTAAGCTCAGTTTTTAAAACCTTAGGATGTAACTACAGCCCAGCCCATGCAGCAGTATATGAATGACTAACCTTGTATTGTGGATGGATTATCTCAGTTGTTCTCCTGGCTGAAGTTTGGTCCTTTTACAGCATCCTGCCATGCGATTACATTTGTTCCTGACCACCGACAACACTCACGGTAACTTTTATCGAGTGGAAAAAAAGTTAGCTTGTTTATATTATGCTAACATAGCTGTGTCGCTAGCGGTCACGTAGCACATCATTATATACCAGCTAGCCCAACTTCAGTAACCCTGCAAACGTCACTGCTGTTTAGTTTTCTGTCTTCATTTATGCTGGAAGTGATAACAGAGCTGTACGTTTTAATTTGTTTCCAAAACCCGCAGTCAGGACATGCTATATTGTATTTAGATAGAAGCTAGCGAGCTAACTTCCTGCTAACTTCTAACTCCGTTAAATGTCATAAATTCCGTTTTCATGGATGCCTGGATGTTAAACTCAATTTTTACACCTGGTAGAGCAGAACGCTGATCATTTTATTAAAGATGAAAGACTTTAGACAGTTTTTCAACTCTCAGTAATGCCACAGTGATCGTTTGATATATGGACCTGCAGCGGAGTTTAGACCCAGACACGGCTAGTGACGTCAGACTGAACAACCGGATAGTTTTTTCTACGATTATAAAACTTTCAGAAGCAGTAGATGATTTTTGAGACTTGGGACCAACCAAAGTGTGAATCTCTTTTGTACCTGTGGTCTTTTAGCTCTCCAGTCCTTATCAAAACAGTCTGACCTGGAGACTGTCGTCAAAACTTTGGCTCCTGCCCTGCTGGCTGAGCTAGCCAAGATGAAGTCGTCCCCATCAACATCATCGTCCTCACGTTCTGCATCTCCAGAATCAGTTAAAGGGAGGCCTAGCACAGAGAAGACCAAGGTGACTTCACATGATGCCTTTTTTCATGAATGGACAGTTTTGGACAATTTATGTGGTCAGTGACAGGTGACAGTGACGTGATTGTTGATGCCACAAAAGCAAGATTAAATCCTTCAGCACAAATTTATACAAGCACAAACTTTGAGTCAAATTGTCATGATGAAATCTGCATTTGGTTTGTTCATATTTTTCTTCGCTGTGTTTCCACAGGCTGCTAAATCTTCCCCTCCAACCATGGTGAGGCTACAAGGGATTGTCAGTAGTCTCTCTCACAGTGAAGTGATTTCTGCTGTGGAGAAATTTGGAAAAACCAAGTCAGTTGTTTTGTTTAGGTCAAGATTACAGGTATGTACACTGAAATTTGCTCACTGTTATAGATGGATGAGTTCATTGACCTGCTTGTGAATCTAGAGAAAATGTGTCTCCTGGTTTGCTTCTGCAATCTAAGATAGATATTTATGCACCGTAGCTACAATTCTCTATAAATGTACTGTCCATTCATTAGTTATAGTCATGCATTCATCATGCGGTTTAAAGTCAGTTGGTTATCCTTACTTTTCTTCTGTGGTCTTGCAGCCCTCACATTCATGGCTACTTTGGATTATACTGAGCTTTTATATAGACATCACAATGTCAGAAAGTTTCTGCTCAAGTCTAATCCTATGAAAGCATACACAATGTATTTTGTTTTTATTTTGCTGCTTTGCATTATGCATTTTTTTAATCTATATATACACATTGCACTAAAAACATCCTTGGAATCGCATTGGTTGCTTGCAAGTTGCCACCGTTGCTTGTAGTTTGCTTGGAAAACTCAAACTTGTCATCAAATACTTGTAAGCTACTGACAAGTGCTCATATATGATTTTTAGTGTGAATGTAGTAACGTAAAAGTTTTGGTAGTAATCCAAATTAATGTGTGTGTGTGTGTGTGTTTGTGCACACCCAGGCAGTTGTGTGTTTCGAGAAACAGGAAGATGCTGAGAAACTGAAGAGCTTAAAGAACTTTGACATAAAAGAAGTAACTGTCAGTGTTGTTAATGAAAAGGTAACTTTGTTTTCCCTTGAGAAATATATTAACATCACTGCTCTTCTGTGGCAAAATGATCAGTAATCTGATTAATCCAAAATTATCTTTGTTTACAGGAAATTGCATCCAAGAAAACCACAAAAACTAAACTGGAAACTACAGCAAAAGTCTCTGTTTCCAAAGCGAAAAACATCTCAGCTGAGCAAAAAGCTAAAACTGTAAAAACTGGTGATAAGGCTGAAGAAGCAGCTTCAAGCCTCGAAAAATCTAAGAGTAAATCTACGAAGAGTCCCGAAAAGCAGCCTAACACCAGTGATTTGAAAGGAAAACGTAAACCCAAAGGGTCTCAAACCGGTGCTAAAGAAGCTGTGGTGGCACCTAAAAATACAGCCAATACTATGAAGGCTGTTGAACCAATTAAAGGTGCTGCAGTTGATGGTGAGCCAAAAGTCTTGACTTCCAAAGCAGAAACGGCCTCAACGACGCAGAAATCTAAAACAGCAGGAACTCTGAAAAAAGAAAAAGTGGATCATTCTAAATCAACAACGTCAGAGGATAAGCCTGATGTAGAGACAAAACACAAGAAACCTGAAACAAAGATTCATGAATCTGCGATGGGGCCTAAAGGTGAAGCACGAAAAGCATCAGCTTCTGAAAGGGAGGACCACACAGAAGTTGAAACTTCTACTGACGGCAAAGGTAATCAGACGTCACCAACTATATCAAGTGAGAATCAACTACCAACTAGTGCAGCTGAGACCAAGCCAAATACATCGCCACCAAAACCCACTGATCCACCTCAGAAACCACAAACTGTCATCAAAAGTCCAGAAGATTCACTCAAAGCTTCAGAACAGACCGAGCAGAGCTCAGATTCTGCTCTACAAGAAGAAACACAACAGCAGACTGCAGGAAAATCACCTGAGATTTCTGTGGAGGCAAAGCAAAGAGTTGAAAGTGTAGAAACGGTTACAAAGGACAAAGGTAAGTGGACAGAAAACATCTTCAAGTGTGGAGTATCTTTGACAGCAGGATGTTGGACGGAATCAAAAGCTAAAGACTGTGCTTCATGACGAGAACAGTTTTCAGATTTTTATTTAAATCAGCTGGGTAATTTGCATCCTATCTAAACTACCACTATTTAACTTAACTACATTTCCTTTATTCTAAGTCTCTGTGACTGCAAAGAAGATCTCAAAGGATCAGCCGGTCGCTCCTACCCACCCAACATTTGAGGAACTGATAGAAAAGCAACTATGTCCAGAAAAAATCCGTAAGAAATCCCCAAAGATCTGTATGAAAGATTTCCCAGTGTGAAGATATTTTCTATTTTATAATTATTTTCTGTTTTTCTTTTGCTCTGCACTTTACAGGTTGTCTCAAGACAGTCAGGCTTCCCCGTAAACAGGTAACATTAAAAAAACACTTAAATTATACCTGTAAGAAAAACATGCTTTGTCAAAGTGGTTAAGTTTTGATCTGAAATAGTTCAGTTTGTTTTAAAAGTTTATAGTTGGGTTATATCTCATTGTCAGGTGACACTCAAGTAGGTGTAAATGTAGAAAAATGTTAAAAATTCAGTAGGAATGTCGCAATAACAGAGATTTACATACACTAATAGAATTACACAAAGCATGGTTACCAATTTAGTACCAAAACAAAATAATTATCGTGTATCTCCAAAAGTTGATTCTGTTCATCTGGACGTAGCGTTTTGTGGGAGAAACGTTTCGTCACTCATCCAAGTGACTTTTTCAGTCTCAGCTAACTGCAGGTTTCCCCAAATCTTATAAACAGTACATTTGCATAATGACTGAAACCAGCCCACTGAAAGAACAGTGGGCTGGGAAGTCAGTCCCTTAATTTTAATTATGCAAATTCTCATGACCATTGATCAACAACCACTGATCAAAACCCATTGATCAATGGTCATGAGTACCATTCACAGAGAGTTGGAGAATGGCTGCAATCACAGCATTGTAAGATGGCGAAAAATTATCTTGTATACTAACACATATTAAAAGTCTGTACACCTCACCCCTGGCGTCGTTGCCCACCTCTCAATTTTAAATACACATAGACATTGAGGGCTAACAGGAGGGGCTATGCGCTTACCTGCTGCATCAACACTACAATGAGCGGGTGGAGGGAGGTTTGGAGTCTTCTCTCACCCCCGTTCTCTGCGACCTGCTGGAGCGGGGGGGCTAGGAGGAGGAATTGGCCGTCCGACTGTGGTCTGGAGTGTGGGGCCTCCCTGCTGCTGTGGAGTCGGGGCGGTCTGCCTCTCCCCACCGCAGGGAAAAGGGTAACACCACCTGGGTCTGGGTGCAGTTCCCCCCCACCAGGGGCAAGGGTACCTAGACCCGGTTTGTAGAGTACGCTTGGGGAGTGTGATCGTGTGTACAACGTCTCTTTATGTCTGTCTCCACGGTGGTTGAGTGTGGAGTAAGTGCATATGAGAGCATGAGGGTGGGAATGGATGTTTGTATCTGTGTGTGCCTGTATGTCTGTGTCTATATGTCAGGTCGGGTATCAGACACCACCTCTCTGGGGACATCTCAGGCCCTCCAAGGTTTGGAGGCTTATCTCCCCCCACCACCACTTCCCCTGCCGGTGGCGGACTCCCTCAGACATCGGTGCGTTGGTGGTTCTTTGTGTCCGGGGATGGGCGTCCAGGTACACACCGGCTCACTCCTTGGCGGCCGCTTATCGGGGCCTGGAGCCTGGGGCTCGCTTGGGCCACTCCGGAGGTGGAGTGCCCCCGGCCCCTCGGCCTGGGGATCGGTCACTCAGGCACGGCTGGCTGCCGGCTGAGCTCACGGGCGCATCACTGCAACTCCCCCTGGCTTCTGCTCCGCGGCTGCTGAGTGAGCCCTCATCTGGGACTCTCCTCAGCTCTTTCTGGGACAGTGGCGCGGCTGCCCCTCTGTTGGTCTTCCTTGGTCTCTTGTGTTCTGGGGGCCTCTGGATGTCTGGAGTTTTGATCTCCTCCATACCTGCTTCATGCCCTGGAGGACGGGGCAGTGGCCCCCCACACCCTCTAGCAGATCATTACATGAAGGAACCTTTAAAAAACAAGCGCGTCCATGCTCACAGGTGTACACACGGGTGATCACACCCACAAACTACACCCTTTTTGGCTCCTACCTCAAAGCACACTGTGTTCTGTTGATCTTATGTGCTGCACAATAATGTTTAATATTTAATATTTACTGTCATATTCCCATATATCATTGTGATGTTGTTTATTCTATTAGTCTTGTTCTCTTCTGCTTGTTTTCTTTTTTCTTTCTCAACAGGTGATCCAGGTGATCGATAGATGCATTTTTTTTTCCTCTCTCAGCTTATTCTGTTGGTTTTTGTTTTTTGCCCTTCTCCCCCGTCCCTCTTCTCAGCTGTTTCTCTTTCCCTCTTTCTTTCTCCCCTTCTTTTCCCCAGTCAAGTCTGTCCCGTATTCAGCAAATGAAAATAAAATAAACAATAAAAGGTGAATCAAATGGACCATTACGGCAAGGCTGGGATGGTCAATTTGGTAAAGTAAATCCGTTGGGCATCTTTCCTCGCCTTTAGACAATAATTCTGATGGCAAAAGAGCCAAACGGGACAGGCAAAAAAAAAAAAAAGTCTGTTATTAAAAAGCTAATTTGAAATGTTCAAATTATATGCACAATCATCCAGGACATGGTGGTTTTGAGTGCTTAAAAAAATAGGGGTTTAAGTAGGGGGCTTGAATACCTCAGCAAGTTGTTTTAAAACTAAAGAACCTTTTAAGAAGCATAAGAGATGAAAGTTCCTCACAAATTAATAGAAGCCCAGCTTTTCTTTTTAAGCAGTCTACTATCAAATCAAATCAAATCAAATCACTTTTATTGTCACATCACATTTGCAGGCACACTGGCACAGCACATGCGAGTGAAATTCTTGTGTGCGAGCCCCACAAGCAACAGAGATGTGCAAACACAACAACACAAACGAGCAAAATACAAGAATGGCCAACCTGAAACTAATAAATATATGTACAATATATAATAGTGTATGCATTTCTGGATGTGTATACTAAATATTTTACTACAGAAACAGTTTTTCCTTCCTGAGTTTGAAAAGCGCAATAGTGCTGTTTACACATTTCCTTTTGTGAATCAGTTATCACTCTTTAAGGATCCACCTTAAATGAATGAAAAGTACTTTCATAGCTGACTCTTACTGCCTTTTTTTTTATCAGTGAGTCAAGGTTGAGCTGTACTGTGTAAAAGAAAAAAAAAAGAAAGAAGTCAAACCAAAATCCGCATCAGAAACATTTTGTACTCAGTATTTTATTCTGATGTACCTCATTGTGTTCATAGTTGTAGACAGTGCTCAAAGTGAGGCACAGTTTCTAACTGAATGTTTTGCCTTTTTGAGATTTCTGTCCGGAATTTCTTCAATTGTAAACTAATCTAAAACTCTGACTTTATTCTTTTCTTTTGCACAGATTGTTTCGCTTAATTACAAGGTGCTGTTAATAAGCAACCTGCCTAAGTATCGTGATGGCTGTTATGAAGAGGAGGACATCGCCGATCTGCTCACTCCACACAGATTTGAATATTACGACGATACGATCTACGTTATACCACAGGCGCGCATGGTAAGCACCAGGCCATGGATTTGCATTGGGCTGGATTATTACCTTCATTTTAATGGGATTCTAAATGTCTTTTCTAAGACGACCTAACTAACATTTAGTTATTACGTATTTTGTGAGCGCAGTGTGTCAGTGTTTGTTTTTCCTTCAGGCTTTTGCCCTCATGCCGACAGCAGTGGCAGCCAAAAACATCGTGCTAGCATCAGAAAATGATCGTAAATTTTTTCTCAATGGGTCTAAACTTCGACTGCAGGTTGTGAAGTACAAGAATTTAATGACCCCGGTGGTGAGCACTGTGTTTAGATAATACACTTTACTGTTGTGAGATATGTTATTAAAAATAATTGAAAATCTGTTTCTGCTTGTTGATGGAAACAGTATCCTTAAAAGCAAGCTGATGTTTTTAAATGTTCAATCTATTTAAAATGTGGTTGTAAGTAAAAAAAAAAAAAAATGTAATATTTTGTAGAGGCTATAAGTAATAAAAAATACTCTTTGAACTGAAATCTATTTAACAGAATCCAACATTTATTTGATGTAATGACTTTTAACTATTTGTTTTTCTTTCAGCTTGAGTTTTATACATATCTGATGTATCGGCTGTGTTATGTTAAGAAGGTAACACGCACACATATCTCAGAAACACAGACTACACTAGAATACCTTATAAAGTATAGAGTATAAAGTTATAACTGGCAGCACTCACATCCAAGTCAAAACACCTTGAAAAATATGAGCATATATTAACACATGGCTAGGAAAGGTTTGGATAACTTTTTTCCTGCAATAAGTTAAATCCTCATTCAAAACTGCATTTTGTATTTAAAAAAAAATGTGGTTTTTGTGTGTGTGTGTGTGTTTTTTTTTTTAATTTAATTTGAAACATGCAAAAAACTAAGAACCCAGGAAAGGGCCAAAAGTGGTTTTCTGTGTACACAGCTAAGTTTAAATATTTTCTCAAACAATGTTATCAACAAAAGCAAGAGCTGCAATTATAAATTGTTTGGATAATGAAGATAGCTGCCAGGGTGCATACTGCTGTGTGACTATATGTGCAAACTTATGACCTTAATCTTGGAACTGTAGTTTAAGAAAGCATGAAATATTGTTAAACTAAATACTGTTTCTGGTTTGTTTTAATGTTCACCAGGGTTTCTCGAATCAGGAAGTGACAGATATTGGAGCACGGACAATCTACATCAGGAACATCTCACCAGGCGAGTCCCGGGATCTCAGAGAAGCTTTGGGAAAAATCGGTATTGTAAGAAACTACCTGCCTCTTCTCAACAAGGTATAAACACACTTATAAGCAGCAACAAGTGCATGTTTTAAAAGTCTGTGAAAGGCTGTATGAGCTACACTCAACAAAAATATAAACGCAACACTTTTGTTTTTGCTCCCATTCCCCATGGGATGGACGTAGAGACCTAAAATTCATTCCAGATACACAATATAACCATCCCTCCCAAACAGTGGTCACAAATCAGTCCAAATGTGTGGTAGTGGGAACATCTGCTATATTGAGATAATCCATCCCACCTCACAGGTGTGCCACATCAGGATGCTGATCTGACATCATGAGTAGTGCACAGGTGTACCTCAGACTGCCCACAACCAAAGGCCACCCTGGAATGTGCAGTTTTGTCTCACAGCAAAATGCCACAGATGCCACAAGCAATGAGGGAGCGTGCAATTGGCATGCTGACAGCAGGAATGTCAACCAGATCTGTCGCCCGTGCATTGAATGTTCATTTCTCAACCATAAGCCGTCTCCACAGGCGTTTCAGAGAATATGGCAGCACATCCAACCGGCCTCACAACCGCAGACCTCGTGTAACCACACCAGCCCAGGACCTCCACATCCAGCAGGTTCACCTCCAAGATCGTCTGAGACCAGCCACCCAGACAGCTGCTGGAACAATTGGTTTGCACAACCAAACAATTTCTGCACAAACTGTCAGAAACCGTCTCAGGGACGCTCAACTGCATGCCCGTCGTCCTCATCGGGGTCTTGACCTGACTCCAGCTCGTCACCGTAACAGACTTGTGTGGGCAAATGCTCACATTCGATGGCGTCTGGCACGTTGGAGAGGTGTGCGCTTCACGGATGAATCATGGTTCACATTGTTCAGGGCAGATGGCAGCTGAGAATGTCCCAGTTCTTGCATGGCCAGCATACTCACCGGACATGTCACCCATTGAGCATGTTCGGGATGTGCTTGACCGGCGTATATGACAGCGTGTACCAGTTCCCACGAATATCCAACAACCTCGCACAGCCATTGAAGTGGAGTGGACCAACATTCCACAGGCCACAATTGACAATCTGATAGACTCCATGCGACGATGTGTTGCACTGCATGAGGCAAATGGTGGTCACACCAGATACTGACCGGTTCTGGGTCCCCAGACCCCCAATAGCGCAAAAAACTGCACATTCCAGGGTGGCCTTTTGTTGTGGGCAGTCTGAGGTACACCTGTGCACTACTCATGATGTCAGATCAGCATCCTGATGTGGCATACCTGTGAGGTGGGATGGATTATCTCAATATAGCAGATGTGCCCACTACCACACATTTGGACTGATTTGTGACCACTGTTTGGGAGGGATGGTTATATTGTGTATCTGGAATGAATTTTAGGTCTCTACGTCCATCCCATGGGGAATGGGAGCAGTAACAAAGGTGTTGCGTTTATATTTTTGTTGAGTGTATGTGTTTATGTAAGTGCATTCTTAACTATCCCCCCAAAATTGACAGACACATTAAAACAAGATAATGTCACTGGTTTTGGATGCTACTTATCTTAATGAAAGCACAACTGCAAAACTATAAAGATAGTAAAGAGAGACTGCAGGTAATCTGTTCGCTGTAGCACATGATTCTTCATATGCTCATGCGCACTAGTGTTCATCACATTAGAGCATTCGTGCAGGGGTCACGTTGAGCACGGCTCCAGTGCATCATTGATCCAGGATTTCTGACTTTTGAATCCAGTGAACTCCACAATAAAGCTGTGCTTAGCTCACTGTTTCCATGTGTTCCATTTTCTACCATTTAGAATGTGAAATTAAAATGTTTAGAGTAAATTTTATCTTTCTTGTGTTTCAGGTGTTAATTGAATTTGAGTCTGTGTGTGATGCTGATCGCCTTGGTGTTTGGTACAGCCTTCTAAAACGGGCCACTGGCCACAAATTGTCAAGGGTGGAAATACCACACAGTGGATTTACATCACTGCGTAAGTGTGTTTTGAATGGGGTTTTAAATAAATGTGATTTAAACGGGGAAAAAAAGGTGAAGTTGATGGAAGGTCATCTGGTAATACACTGAATATGGTGGGTTGTTTTTTGGCTGTAAATCGTGTCTGGTAAGGGTAGCTGCTTTTGTCCTGCTGGCCTTCCTGTACTGTGGGATTGCTTTGGAGATCTACGTGGTCTTCTACAAGGCAAGCTTAAGAGTTATACTTTTTATACATTGGTCGTATTGTCCAAAGAGACTCTTGTCTTTGGACAATACGGCAAATATTGTCGTCTTAGTGGGTGATGCACAAAAGAAGCAAGTGAATTGAAGATTACAAGGAGTGGCAAAAGCATACTGATACTAGAGACAGATTAAATTCCAACTAATCAGGGGCGCTATAGAGCAAGACATGGTGTAACACACAACTTAGTAGAGCTGCAGAATTCTGAAAAATTCTCTTATAAATGTCACATTCCACTTTCTGAACTCCTAAAGTTTGCTTAGAGAACAAAATAAGGACTTATTGGGCCAAACCACAGACTACTGTGGGACTTTCTGGTGGAAAGAAGACACCTCGCGGCCTGCAAGAACCACGCGCCAACGTGATACAGATGAATCGAACAAAGTCTCATCCGACCTAACTGAAACGGCAGGCATGACTGCTGAAGAACTGAAAGCCAACACTAAACCCCCTGCGAGGAGAACTGCCTAAAGTCATAAAAGAGGAACTTAGAGATATTTTCGGAGTTCAGTTTTATCAATACTGAAATACAAGTAGTCAGGTCCGAAATAACTAACACTGCCAGTAACCCCGGTTATTCTGAAGTTTCCTCAAAAATTTCAACAGTATGATTGAGCTCAGGGCTGTGGCTCCTCACTACCAGATATTGCAAAATCTATTTTGTCTCCAGTGCTGCACCAGCTGCTCCCATCTCCACCATCATGGAAACACATCACATCTATCACACAGAGTCTGGATAATAAGCTTTCCTTCACTTTCTGTTTGTGAAACAGTCATGAATATATTTTTCAGTTCTTCCCTGGACTCTGGATAAAGCGAAGTCCGAGAAATGTTGCAACATATGCAAAACTGCTGCTTTATCGTCATCCACAATAAATTATTGCAACACATTCCCTCAACTTTGATTCACTAACACTGTGATTCTCCTTCCCACAAATCCTTTGATGCTCATTTGCCTCGTTATCTCTCTGACCTCTTTTCTGGTCCCTCCAGAAGTCTTTGCTCCATCAGCGGTCAATTCCCTTCTGCTTATCTCTGCCCTAGACACATGAACCAGAGCCATTACTTAAACTCCACTTTTTCAGACTGGCATTTGATATCTGTAAAGGTGCTTAAAGTTAAACTGAAAGTCAGTTAAAAACCTGACACACACACACACACACACACACACACACACAAATTAAACAAAACTTATTTTTGCTTGTGCAGCACCAAGATTGCCACACAAAGCTTTGCCAGACAGCGATGTCGCTGTTGACGGGGCAGCTGTCCCAACAGAAGATATTACCATCCCACAACCCAGCACTTCACCATATTGGATCACAATGACAACTAGTCCCTTTGTGTTCCCCACTGTCGCTCCTTGGTTCACAATCCCAGGTGAGAGAAACTAAAATTAACCTCCAGATATAAAGTGTTGACTGTTACTAACTGTGTGTGTTTTACACTTCTAGAGTATTTAACTGTCAGGGAACCTGATGACATTGAGGTGAGTGCATTTTATAAACCAAGGTTTCATGTGTTAAACAGGAATCCTTGAGTAAATACCAAGAGGCGTCCATTTTTCCAAATACCGACCTCAAAAGCCACATTTCTCTTTTTCTGCTAAACTTGGTTTCATTTTGTCTTCTCTATGTGGTCAGTTATAGTAATATATTTTTTTTAAAAGTGCTGCAAAGTTTCTCTTCACATAAACTTTGGTTCTTGAACCTTGTGTCTTGTAGAAAGCCCAATCTCAAGGTTCTACGTTCTCCACGATCATGTTGACTGGTTTGCCAGAAGGAAACTACAGACAGGAGGATGTCACCAAGCTGGTGTGGCGTTACTTCCCTGATCAGACTGTTCAGACTCTGTACTACAACATAATCGTTTTATCACTGCAGAGGAGGGTGAGGAGTAGACCCAGCAGGCTGATACAGAGAAATTTGCATTTGCAAATTTAATTCAATTTAATGATTAATATTGAATGTTTCCTCTGCGTCATTTTTTCCCCTTTCTTCCTCTCCAGGCCTTTGTGTTTTTTAACAGCTGGGATGCGTGCTGCGATTTCGCCAGAGATTACCTCAAAGATCCAGTTACAGTTGGAGAGTGGAGACTAGGAATCCACATTGTTTTAAAAGACATGCATCCTGGTTCAAGTGAGGTATGAAAATGGAGCAATCGGGGGCTGTTAAATCAGGGGCATGCTCCTGTTTCACTCAAACTATTCAGGTGCCAATCAAAAAAGATTTCTCCTCTAAGGAGTGAGCACAGCATCATCCTTCACTAGGGAATTGCCCAATTTAGTAGAAATGAAAAACAGGGAACATATGCATGAATTTCAAATCAAGTATTTATTATTATTTTGTCTGTATTTGTTCCTTCCTTTTTGCGACAGCAGCACAAAAGCTGCATGAACTTTATCCACTTTTCTGTTCATAGACGACAGCCCACGTCATTCCACCACCACTTTAAAGTTTCCACAGAGCTTCTTGTGAAGTCAGTCCTGTGTAAACGTTAAAGACCCAGACATAGGTTATGGAGTGTTTCACTGACTATTAAGCAATGCCCTCACTTATTTATTTATTTTTTTCTAAGCTTTATTTTCATTTTTAAATTAGAAACGAACAAAAAAAACAAACAGACACACAAAGCAAGAAAGAAAAAAAACAAAACAAAAAACAAACAAACAGAAAACTCACAACTATGGGACAGAGCAAGTATCATCAAATAACCACAGCATGGCAGGCCATTGTGACCACAAAAGCACTCCCAGGTGCACACTCTTGTATCTATGCCTTTCAGGGATAACCTCAAACATCTGAAAAACCAAACACAGAAAATACAGGAATAGTAATAATAATAATAATAATAATAATAATGACAATATTGGTAAATACAGAAATTTAAAACAAACACACAAACAAACAAAGAACAAAGAATTCAAAAAAAAAAAATTGAGCAAAACAGAAAACACATCATGTGAACCCCTCCCACCATCCCCCCACCCCTTTACCCCTGTATGGCTCTCAACCTCATCACATTCGTGTATCCAGACAGCCCATATTTACACCTATCTATAGAAACTCTCATACACAGGAATGAACATCCCACAAGATAAAACTACAGCATTCAGGAAATCAAGTCAGAAGGGCCTAACCGGGGATCAACTCAAGGCAGACCCAGGGGGATTTGCATCATCTCTATGATCTGTTAGGTCCAAAGACGGTAGTACTGACAGGAAGGGGCCCCAAACTTTTTCGAAGGTTCCATATTTCCCTTTTACACTATGCAATATCTTCTCAGGTGTGCAGTAGTACGCTAGCTCATTAATCCAGTGTCTCAGTGTTGGAGAGTTTTCAGATTTCCAATGTAGCAGAATACATTTTTTCACTGCAGTACTCGCAAGTAAAATAAAATATTTCTTGTGATAATTCACATTTATAGAACCTGTGTCACCTAAAATCCATAGTTTTGGGTCCAGTTCGATTTGGATCCCCATTACCATTGAGATTATTTCAATCGCCCGTCTCCAGAACTCTTCTATCACTGGGCAATTCCACAGCATGTGGAGGAGGTCACCATCTGTCACCTTACATCTCAAACATTTGGGGGAGTAATTAATATCAATTTTATGTAACCTATAAGGGGTATAATATATCCTATGAAATATATTAAATTGCATTTGCCTGTGATTTGTAGAAATTAACATGGTCTGTGCCTGTTCCAATAAATGGTGCCATTCTACCTCTTCATAGACATAGCCCAGGTCTGTCTCCCATTTTCTTTTTAAAGATGCTTTATTATAGTCAGGTAACTTTTCATTGATAATAGTGTATATAGAAGATGCTATTCCTTTTATTGACTTCCATGGTTTGGTGCAAAGATGCGTTTCAAGAGGAGTTTCTTTGGGAATCTCGGGGAATAATCCTGGTAAATGGTAAATGGCCTGCATTTGTATAGTGCTTTTCTAGTCCATAGGACCCCAAAGCGCTTTACACTACATTCAGTCATCCACCCATTCACACACACATTCACACACTGCGATAGCGATAGCAAGCTACATTGTAGCCACAGCTGCCTTGGGGCGTACTGACAGAGGCGAGGCTGCCGGACACAGGCACCACCGGGCCCTCTGACCACCACCAGTAGGCAAACATGGGGTTAGTATCTTGCCCAAGAATATTTGGCATGCAGCCAGGATGCAGCCTGGGATCGAACCACCGACCTTCTGATTAGTGGCTGACCTGCTCTGCCACCTGAGCTACAGCCACCCACTTTGGATTTCTCTTTGACCCAATCTCTTATTTGTAGGAATTTGAAGAAATTTTGTCCTGGAAGTTTGAATTTTTCCTTTAGTTGTTGAAAGTCAATAAATGTATCATTATTGTATAAATCGGCAACAGTTCGAATATTTCTGTCCTTCCATCCCCGCAATATTGGGTCAGCAATATGATGAGAGAGATCAGGGTTGCCCCATAAGGGTGTCCTTCTAAGAAAAGAGATATTTACTTTCAGAAGTGAGTGGGATTCCTGCCAGGCACAGAAGGTGTTTAATATTATCAAATTGTTTGTGAGCTTGGATAGACATTTTTTTTGTACCTAATAATGGAACATCTTTTAATGGTATGGGGTTCACCTCATGTTGTTCTATTGGAACCCATCGAACCTCACTCCTCTCTGCATGTAGCCAGATCCAAATTGATCGGTACTGGGAGGCAAGATAATAGTTCCTAACGTTTGGTAAATTAAGTCCTCCCCTTGAATATGAGGCCTGTAGTGAGGAGAGTTTGACTCTTGGATTTTTCTTTTGCCATATGAAAGAAGTTATGAGTTTGTTAAGCTCTTTGAAGAAACTTTTAGGAACATTTGTAGGGAGACATTGAAATAAGTAGATAAACTTAGGCAAAATGTTCATTTTAACAACATTAATTCTCCCTATAAGAGATAATGGAAAATCCATCCATCTCTGAATATTAAGTTTGGTTTGCTCCAACAGTTTGATATGATTTAATTTGAATATTTGATCCTCGGATTTACCAATTTGTATACCCAAATACGTAAATCCATTATTACACCACTGTAATGGGTCAGTAAGAGCTGTAATACGGCTATCTTGTATATTTAATGACATAATCTCACTTTTGGTATAGTTTAACTTGTATCCTGAGGCTGCACTATATTCTTTAAGACACTTCATTAAAGAGGGAATTGATTTAAGAGGGTCCGTTATATACAGTAGGAGGTCATCTGCGTATAGAGAAAGTTTATGTTCACTTGTGCCGAATTTGATTCCAGATATGGAGGCATTAGTACGGATGGCAACTGCTAGTGGTTCGATCGCAATCGCAAAGAGCAAGGGGGAACTTGGACAACCTTGTCTGCAACCTCCAGTTAAAGAGAAAGTGCCAGAAAGCACATTATTTGTTATGATATTGGCTCTGGGGGCATTAAAAAGTGTCCTAACATAGCGGGTGAACTTTTCTCCAAAGCCCATGGCTTCCATTGCCTGAAATAGAAAGTTTGGCTCAATCCTGTCAAATGCTTTATTAGCGTCCATGGAGATTATTAGCAGTGGGTTTTGGTTTTTTTGAGCAGTATTCAGTATATGGAGCAAACGCCGCACATTATCTGCTCCATGTCTGTTTTTAATGAAGCCTGTTTGGTCGGCATTTATTATCTTAGGCATAATGTCCTCCAATCTAAGTGCAATTATTTTAGATAATATTTTATAATCTGCATTTAAAAGCCTGAGGGGTCTGTAAGAGTCACATCTCTGTTTGTCCTTGCCTGGTTTTGGCAATAATGTGATTGTTGCAATTTCCAATGATTCTGGTAATTTATTATTTTCTAAAGCTTCTTTAATCATATTTGTAAGTGGTGTCAATAATTTATTAGAAAAAGCCTTATATTAATCAACTGGAAATCCATCTGGTCCAGGGGTCTTATTATTTTGTAAACACTTGAGGGCTCGAAGAACCTCCATCTCAGATATATCTGCATCAAGCAGTTCTTTGTCCTCATTATGTAATTTAGGAAGGGTTATTCCATCTATAAATCTTTTTGCAGCAGTACTGTCGACCCCTTGCTCAGATTTATACAGATCTTCATAGAACCGTTTAAACTCTTACACTTTGCGACATATTGGTAGCCCAGGAAAGTTTAATGGGATTATGGTCTGAAAAAGTAGCTGCTAAGTAGGAGCAATCTATCACTGTTGCCATCATATTTTGTGGTACAAGAAACATATAAATTCTAGAGTATGTATTATGTACTGGTGAAAAAAAGGAGAAGTCCCTCTGGCCTGGATGGAGGTTTCGCCACAAATCAATTATACCTATATCCTTCATACCTTGGTTCAGTGCTGTTGCTGCCTTGGATAGTGAAGCTGTTTTGGGTGAGGACCGATCCAAAGAGGGGTTTAGGACCAAATTAAAGTCTCCACCCACAATATACTGGCCCTCAATTGTAGCCACTTTCATTATTAAGTTGTTAAAGAATAAAGGGTCGTCGTAGTTGGGCCCATATATATTTACCAAAGTTATCTTATTTCTATTTATTTCACAATCTACAAGTAAGAATCTGCCATTTTTGTCCTTTTCAACTGAATTTAGTTGAAAGTTCAGGTGTTTATTAATAAGCAGGGTAACGCCTCTTGCTTTGGAAGTATATGATGAGTAAAAAACATTGCCTACCCAATCTCTTCGTAATTTTAAATGTTCAGCGTCTGTGAGGTGGCTCTCCTGGATAAAAGCGACATCTACACTCTGCCTCTTTAAGTATGTCAGCCCTCACTTATTTTGAAACTTCAGTTGCTGCTAACCTTCTAGCTTCAGCGTTTCCCATCTCAAGTTTCCTTGCGGGCTAGCTATTCAGGCCCTTTGTGAGAACTCTCTCCACAGCTACATGTTAAGAGGAATTGAGGTCTGACGACTGTTGCGGAAAGTCACTGAGACTTAAAAAGCATCAAATAGTTCCTGCAAAACTTCAGTTATATGTTGAGTCGTTACTGTCCTGAAGTATGAATCCTTTGCCACAAAGATGCAAACCAGGATCGAGTTACTTCTCACTTACAGTGGAGTCCAATATTTATCTTATTAAATGGGGTCAATAGAACATTAAAAACACTCTAACCAGGAGGAGAGTTATTCAATAGTTATTTTACAAACAGAGGATAAGTAATTGATGTGAGCCGCTTTCATCTTCTACTCTTTTCACAGGAGAGCATGTACAGAAGCATGATGAAATGGAGCAGCACTGTAAGTCAGCAGTCACATAAATCTGTCCTGTAAAAGCAGCAGGCTCGGGTCTCCCTGATCTTAACACTGGTTGTTTTTCAGCATGTTCCACAGTCTGAGTCTCTGAAGGACCGGCTGCTGATTGTGGAGGTCTCCAAGGTGAATGTGGACCTTCTCGTGAAGATCATGAAAGTGGTGGCTCCCATTGCTGCTTTTGTCAGATTTTTGCCGCTTGCCAACAGGGTACGATTTCATAAACACCTGCAAATTTTTCACGTTTTACATCTGCAAGGCTTGTTATGGTGTCTGCTGCTCTTAAAATGCAGCTTTTTCTGAAAAGTCTTATGAAGGTATTAAGTCTTAAATTTCACCCGCAAAGCTGGTACAGTTTGGTTCAATTTAAACTGCTTAATAAAATTAAGGGAACACTTGATCAATGTTCCCTCTAAGCTGCGTGCGTGCGCAATTGCGCACTTCTGGCACAGTCTCTGCGCACAGGGTTAGGGTTAGGGTTAGAAAAAACCTAAAAAAAAAAAATCGAACCTGAATTGAAATTAAATTAAAGCTTTAACAATTCTGTTTTGCAGTGTTAGTCAGTAAGTGACTGGCTGCCACCTTATCCCATAGTCCAGCCAATAATGCGATTTACATTCGTATATATGCAGCTAATCAACGTCGCTGACAGGTTATGACAGCGTCCTTATGACAGCGGTGTTTTAGCAAGCAAAGCGGCATGGCTGATGTGGAGTGAAGCCACGTTAATGACAACGTGTACAACCATTGGAGATGTGAGCAGGACAGACGGAACAATTGATGGAAAACGTGTGGACGTTACACCAGTTTTTAAATTGTGTTGATTGGCCACGTAAAACCAGAGTTATGATAAAAATATGCGATGTTTGGATTTCTTCCTGAATACTATCATTGTTTATATTTACTGCGGGAAGAAACGGTAAAAACTGCGTTTTATAAGGAAAACGTTTGAAAGCACTCTCTGCCTGTGAGCAAAAACAAAACCAAAAAACCCCACCCATTCCTATTGGTGGAAAAATGTACCATCTAGACCAATCAAAAAGTGATATAGCAACATGGCATTTAGTTGGTTAGGAAGGGGGATGTTTTGGAGTGGCACAAATAATTTGTGTGGCATCAAATTTGATGCAGAACAGCTGATTGTTCTGTAAATAGTTTGAAATGTTTGTTTAAAAAACGCCTTGGCTGCATTTTTATGTAAAGAGCTGCAAAAAAACTTTGTTTGCATAACTCAGTAACTTTTTTTGAAGAAGTAACTATATAATTAATTGCCCAGCATTGGTCTTTATATACTGTATTTTGCAGTCAGAGAGTTACAGGACTTGCTCCCAGACCACAGACTCATAATACAAGTCAGAGCTTTATAATCTAAAAAAAAAAAGAAAGTTGTGTTTTCAAAATTGGAGTTCAAGTTATTTTTCCTTCCAATAGTGTTAACATACTACACAAGTCATGAACAAGATTTTTTTTCTAATTTTCATTGTAAGTGGGCTAAAGCAGTTAATTAAAAGTAGTCTAAGATAAATGTAAATGCTGTAATTTGATTATTTTAATAAACCATGTAACTTGGATGGATTCAATGCTGGTGTGACCACAGTGCACACGTCTGCTGTTGCTCACAGTGGTCCAAGGGACCGTTCATGGAATTTGTGCGTTCGCTCAGACACATGAAAAATTAGAGGGAACATTGCACTTCATCATTGCAGAATAACAGTCAGTTAGAATTCAGAGAACTTCAGTTTGGCTTTAGCAGTCCTTCTCCTTGTACAAAGTAGAGGATACCTGCTGAATGGTCATTGCTCTTCTATGGCCCTGTCATGAACCAAGCAGCCAGGAACACACAGGCACAAATGTAATCTTCAAAAAATGGGTTTTATTATACCCCAAAAGGACAAGATGATTACAAAAATTCTAAATTTTTAGTGATCCGAGCTGAAAGAACCGGTTCTCTAAAAAGAGTTGGAAATCCCATCACTACAAACCATTATAACACACCATCTCCTAATATTTTCTCCACACTTTTGAGGCCGCACTGTTAGACACGGCAGATCTTCTTGTGACTGCCATTCAGGAGGAGCTGGACTGCCTATGCAACCTGAGTGAACTGCATGCACAATTCCACCAACAGTGAAAATCAGAAAAAATTCAATCAGGGAAGATAAAGAAAGCAATAAGTGGTTAACACGGAAAATGAAGACATTAAAAAAGTTTAACTGGTGTAACTTTCTTATACTGTGATGATCAAGTGGTTTTTAAACTGTGTTTTTAAGTTTGTCTTATTTTATTCTGTTTCCAGCTTTAAGCAAGACTTTTAACATTGAGAAACTTTTTAAATGAGTCTGAAGGAGACTTTGTTTTTTTAACACTAGTTCAGCAAGTTTTAATATTCAGACAGTCCCTGCAGCAGGCAATCTGAATTTCACATGCCTTTGCAAATACTGGTGAAATGCACTAAGTTCTCAACCAAGTGATAATCTTATGACCTGTTCAACCTTTCGTCCTGGCCCATCTAGCAGGGAAGATGCCTGCAGTTTGAGACAGCACTAAGTTATTCTTTTATTGTTTCTTGCTCAGTGGTTTTATTCTTTAATCAAAAACTTTGCAAAAGTATAGAAATATGTTTGCGCTTATTTTCCATTTGCAAGTTTAAAACATCAAGATTTTTTTGTTCTTTTAACAAAAAGTTGTACTATCGTAGAGGGCAGTAAAGAAACTCGCCAGGACCTCTGTCCTGTTACTTTCACAAATTGGGCCTGTAGCGCACCCTTTGAGTACCACTGTGTTGCTCAAATATCCTCAGGAAGAAAACAATTGTACTGTCACTGATGTAATATCTTTCTGTTTTCTCAGATATGCATTGAGATGGCTGAACCTGGTGGATTAACACAGGTGATGGAGAGCAATGTCACCAAGGACTATTTATCTTCTTGGTAAGTGTGTTCCACAATCAGAAGTGAGACAAAGAGGAAATTGATTTTAGATTGTGTGTTTTTTTTCTTTAAAGTGTCTTCATGCTTGTCTGACCTTGTGCTTTTTTCTCTCCTCTTCATAGGAGTAAAGTCGGACGTATTGAGTCGTGAGTATCTTTCATTTTCAGGTTTAGTGGCAGAGTCAAAACAGTCATGATGACTGCTATACTCCTCAAGGTTGTGCTATAGTAAACAGTTCCCAAAGATGCAAAAAGAGAAGAGTGTGATTTAGACATAAGCAACTCTAGATTAGAAATTTGAAATGGAATTTCTTATTTCACATTAACATTTTGTGACAACAAACTTCTTTTCATAGTAACCTACTGGCATCTTTGCTTTTAAATTCAGTTTGAAGAGTCTGAAACAGCGTCTGCAAGACTCGGGTGAGAACACACTTAACCTCGAACTGGAAACAGAGAAGGCCGCAGAATCGACCGCTGTCCCGCAGCCAAGTGAGGAAGGCCAGAAAGCAGCAGTGAAGGAAGAGGGGCCACCACAAACTTTGGTCACTACTCCTGATGCAAACGCCGCCCCCGCCGCTTCTAGCGCTGCTCCTTCAGCAACAAGCCCAGTCAAGTCTGAGGAAAAAGACTCAAAACTTCCTCACATCAACGAGGACGTTTTCATGGCCATTACAGCGGCGCTTCGTGAGCATAGACAGGGTCGAGAAAGTAGGGCACAGAGCAAGGACAGAGAGGTAACACTTTAAATTTCACTGTGTTGTCCCAAAATATCTTAAGACACTAAAAGCCTTATGTTGGAGATTACATGTGAGCATTGTATAGTAGTACACTGTCGATTGTTGCGGTAAAGCTGCAGGCTGTATGAATAATTAATGCTGATAATAATAACAATAATGTATACTTTATTGATCCCCCTGGGGAAATTACTCTCTTTGCATTTGACCCGTTCACTCAGTGAAGCAGTGGGCAGCCACTAAGCAGGCGTACCATGTGTAGGGATGGTACCTTGCTCAGGGTTACCTCAGGGTAGCCGTTCAGTGGATTTGAACCCCCGACCTTCCAATCACGGGGAAAGTGGTTTCGATGTCTGTATTTCACATGTGATAGTAGACTGGCAGTTTACGTCTGTGACACCTGATCAGCTGAAGGCAGAGCAGAGAAGGAGATTACTCACTCCCCATTGTGACAGGCGGAGATACTGTCCACTATACTAATGAGGAAGATAACATTTTTAGATTTGCATTATTTCTGGAACAGATAAATTAAAGCGAAGGTCATCACTACATATAGTCTTATTTATTTTTTGCAAGCTTGTGTATGTCCAATTTTTGGCGTCACCACTCACTAAACACCTTTCAGGCTATATTTTAGGTGTTTGTCAAAACCAGCACAGAATAATACGAAATTAATTCAGTTAATTTTTTTTCTTATCTTATCTTCATTTCCAGAGCAAAATCAGCAGCCCTAGTAGGGCACAGGATGAAGACGCACCACACAGAAAGGTAAACGTTCATCAGACCCACGAGGATTTCTCTTGTGGGTGGTGGGGGTGGGCGGCTGGGCTAACTCAAACACTTAATCACACTGAGAAAATTGGTCATGTGGTTACTGGTCATATAGGAGGTTTTTGTGGACAGAGGGACATTCGTTGATAGTTAGACTCTGATTATAGTGTAAGCTGTTTCATGGCTCCACAGACTGTTTTTGGTTTTTCCATCTAGGTTCAAGTTGATAATTTAGAGAAGAAAGTTTCTTCAGAGAGCCGCCCTTTTGGTGAGCCGGATTTCAATGTAGACAACTTTGTCACTGTTGATGAAATTAACAATGATGCAGCAGACGCAGACCCCAATGGTGAAAGCGACTCTTCAACTAAGTCCACAAAGAATAAAGAAAGTCAAAGCTCAGCTGCATCTCCTGCTTCCAAACGAACCTCAGCAGGGTCCTCCAAAGACTCCAGCAGCTCAGCCTCTCCCTCATCCAAGCCCACGAAATTTTCTGAGAAAAGCAGTTCAACCTCCTCACTACGAAAAAGTAAAGACTCATTTGACTCCACCAAACCCGAATCCTCTGTGAGTGTCAGTAAGCCTGTTTCCTTTTCTGGTGAGAAAACGCAGCTAAGCAAACCTCCAGACAAATTGTCGCATTCTTTGTCCTCGGGTTATAGGACCCGTTCATCAAAAATGGCATCAACCGCTGATGCAGAGCTAACAGAGGAGAGTGCAGCAACAAAGTCTGACCTCAAAGTGTCAGCAAAGGAAAATCAAACTAAAGTGGAAACATCATCAGAGACACAACCACCTGCAGAGGGAGAGGGATTAGGGATGAAGAGCCAAACACAAACTCTGGAGACTGAATGTAAGGATGACGCACACAAAGAGTCAAAGAAAAGCAAAGGAGATGGGGGAAAAGACAATGCAGGGAAATATCCACAGGAGGAGGAGGATGATGGTGAAAGTTACCAGATCCTTGATTCGATCGACGAGCTAACAGATGAACAGATAGATGAAGACTCAAACCAAGAGACTAAAACAGAGTCATCAGGGCCTGAGCAAACCCAGAGTTTGCATGAGGGGGAAAGTCAGGTCTTGAACAGCATTGATGATAAAGGCTCAGAGGAGTCCAGTAAAACTGAAACGGATGCTCCTCTCTATGTGATAGACAACGTTAGTGAAGACCAAGCCAGTACAGTCCAAGCGGACAGTCATCTGGTCAAAGATGAAGGTACCACAGCAAAGCAGCTGTCTGAGGAAAAGATTCAAGAACCAGATGCAGCTGATAAAAAAGAAGGGTTGGATCCAAGCATGAACCAAACTCCAAGGTCCAGTGGAGATGGAAAAGAAATGAATGAGGAGATGCTCTCAGAAAAATCAAGCAAAGCTTCCAAAGCATTTTGCCAAACTCCAAATAATGAAGAACAAGAAAACAAAGGCAGTTCAGCAGATGTTACTAAACAGAAAGCCTCTGAGAAGTTAGATTCAGTCAATGATCACACCAGAGGAGAAGATGACGAGAAGAAACTTAATACTTCGAAAGCAGTCACTGAAGGAACTGAAGAAGAGGAAGAAGCTTACCAGGTAATTGATTCTGTGGAAGAAGAGCCACCGACCACAGAGACCGAGGCAGAGGCTGAGAACAAGGAGGAAAAAACCAAGAAAGACGTTGAAGTGGCTAAACGAGCTGAAAGACCAACAAGGAGGGGTAGACCGAGAACAAGAACATCTAAAAGAGAGGAGAAAGAGACACAGGAGGAGATGATCTTTGAGGTAGTGGATTCTGTTGAAGATGAATTTGTTCAAGATGTCTCCACCACAGAGAGGCCTGGTAGAAGGAGGTCGGCCAGAGGAAACAAAGAAGATAAAAAGACGCCAACTTCCACAGTTGCATGTATAAAAGCCGTCAGGGAAGAGGAATCTACGTCTGAGATCCTAGACTCAGTGGAGGGTAAGGCTGCCATGAACGAACCAACCATCACAACAAGGTCAACCAGAGGAAGAAGAGAAACTAAAGAAGACGTCTCAAAAAAAGACAAGACACCAACGAGAAGGAGGCCGACACCTGCCAGAGATTCTCAGGAACCAATCAAGGAGGAACCTCAGCAGACTCAAGTGAAACAGAGCACACCAACAAAGAAGAGCGAGGGGAATGCCACCTTTACAATAGTAGACCCAGTGCAGGATGAAGTTATTAAGGATGAACGGGCCAAAACTCCGGAAAAAAGAAGAAGGGGAAGACCAAAGAAGGACACTAAAGTAACTAAAAAACAAGCTGCCATGAAGAATGCTGCATCTAGTAAAGTGGCTGATGAGGAGGAGGCCATTTATCAGATTGTTGACTCGGTTGAGGATGAGACGGCTGACAATGAGCCTTTGAAAGACCAGAATACAGAAGAGCCAACAGTGCCTAAAGACGATAAAGACTCAGCATCGCCAAAAAATGCAGATGATGAGGAGGTGGTCGATAAAGAGGAGTGTTTGGATCACACTGCTGAGGTTAGTGATGCTCTATCTGCTGAAGACGAGTCTGGTACAGCAACGAAGGAAGAGAAGCCAAAAACAGATACTAAAGAGGCCACTGGGTCCCAAAGTGAGGCTGCTGCACCAGAAGAAAAAACAAATCTGGAGGAAGACACCCTGGAGCTGGTCACTCTGGATGAGATTGTTGAAATAGATGAGGAGGAGGGGGAAAAGGCAGAGGAAAGCACAGTGGAGCCCCGCCCACCAACACAGGAGAGCCAATCGGTGGAGGCCGCAGACATAGCGGTAATGTTGAGATTTATTTGAGCATCTTTGTTTCCTCTTTAGTAAAAACAGAAAACTCGATGGTCGTGATTTTGTGTCTTTGTTTTTAGACTTTTGCGACAGCAGCTGAGGTAGAAGAGGAAGCAGAGAAGACATCAGGATCTGCTAAACGCAAACATGATGAAACAGGTCAGTTTCATTCTCCATCCATCCATTTTTTTAACTACTTGTTCGAGTTCGGGTCGTGGGGGCAGTCGGAAGTTCAGACTTCCCTGATAGCCTCATTGCTGGATCTGCCCAGGGGCCTCCTCCCTTGAACAAGAAAGCCTGTTCTGCTGTTCAGTACAGTACAGTAAACCACAGCACCTAGGAGTTGCCCAGGAGGCATCCTAGTCACATACTCAAACCACCTGAACAGAGTTTGATTTGCACGGTCAGATTTTGTGGAGGAGAAGCGAATGTGTACAGCATAGTTTTTGTTGGCAGGGCTCTAGAGTGCGTCACAAATGTGACCAAATTTTTCAATGGTGCGACTAAAATAAACCTTAGGTCACACCGGTGCAACCAGCTGTTCGAGTAAAAAAAAAGAAAAGAAAAAAAAGTCTCTGCAACTCTGAAAGTCCAGATATTCCTGTAGTCTTTAGTACATGTTTGAAAGTGCAGGTGGATAGAGAGAGTTGAGTATCTTGAATTAAGCGATATTGATTCATTAAATCCTGAATAGAGTTTTAAATATAAATGTATTTTGCCAGAAACACCAGAATCTCAGGTCAAAGCTCACAAAACTATTTCAACAACCACCAAACAGCAAATGAGAGAGCAGGTAAACAGATTCCACACAAAGACGTAAACACAGAGCGGACCCGACACGTCAGAATCAGCTTTCTCTTTCTCGGCTTTCTCACCCAACGGCCTGTACACGGACACACCGTCGGGGCTGAAAGCCGACAGCTCACTGATTCTGATGCGTTGGTGGGTCCGCGCTTTGTGTTTACGTCTTTTTTTTTTCTTGATTCTGAGTAGCAGGTTTTGTCTCTCTCAGACCAAAATTCACTGATCCAGCAGCAAAAGAAGCAGCAAACTGCGCTTCACATTTGATAAACATCGTCATGAATTCCCTCTGACATTAGGGCTGTTCGATATAACGATATATATCGGATCCATCTTCATCTTCAACCGCTTATCCGAGGCCGGGTCGCGGGGGCAGCAGCCTAAGCAAAGAGGCCCAGACCTCCCTCTCCCCAGCCACCTCCTCCAGCTTATCCGGGGGAATACCAAGGCGTTCCCAGGCCAGCCGAGAGATATAATCTCTCCAGCGTGTCCTGGGTCTTCCCCGGGGCCTCCTCCCGGTGGGACATGCCTGGAACACCTCACCCAGGAGGCGCCCAGGGGGCATCCTTGTCAGATGCCCGAACCACCTCAGCTGACTCCTTTCGATGTGGCGCAGCAGCGGCTCTACTCTGAGCCCCTCCCGGATGGCCGAACTTCTCACCCTATCTCTAAGGGAGAGGCCAGCCACCCTTCGGAGGAAGCTCATTTCCGCCGCTTGTATCCGCGATCTCGTTCTTTCGGTCACTACCCACAGCTCGTGGCCATAGGTGAGGGTAGGGACGTAGATCGACTGGTAAATTGAGAGCTTCGCTTTTACACTCAGCTCCCTCTTCACCACGACGGACCGGTGCAGCGTCCGCATTACAGCAGCTGCAGCCCCAATCCGTCTGTCAATCTCCGGCTCCCTTCTCCCATCACTCGCGAACAAGACCCCGAGATACTTGAACTCCTCCACTTGGGGCAGGAACTCATCCCCGACCCGGAGAGGGCACTCCACCCTTTTCCGGCTGAGAACCATGGCCTCAGATTTGGAGGTGCTGATCCTCATTCCCGCTGCTTCACACTCGGCTGCGAACCGTTCCAGTGCGAGCTGGAGGCCCTCACCTGATGAAGCCAACAGAACCACATCATCCGCAAAAATCAGAGATGAGATTCTGAGGCCACCAAAGCGAAAGCCCTCCGCCACTTGGCTGCGCCTAGAAATCCTGTCCATAAAAATTATGAACAGAACCGGAGCCAAAGGGCATCCCTGGCGGAGCCCATCACCCACCGGGAACGAGTCCGACTTATTGCCGGCAATGCGAACCAAGCTCCTGCAACGGTTGTATAGGGATCGAATGGCCCGTAGCAATGGGCCAGACACCCCATACTCCCGCAGCACCTCCCACAGGACACCCCGAGGGACACGGTCGAATGCCTTCTCCAAGTCCACAAAACACATGTAGACTGGTTGGGCAAACTCCCATGCGCCCTCAAGTACCCTCGAGAGGATAAAGAGCTGGTCCAGTGTTCCGCGACCAGGACGAAAACCGCATTGTTCCTCCTGTATCCGAGGTTCGACTAGCGGACGAACTCTCCTTTCCAGCACCCTGGCATAGACTTTCCCAGGGAGGCTGAGGAGTGTGATCCCCCTGTAGTTGGAACACACCCTCCGGTCCCCCTTCTTAAAGATGGGGACCACCACCCCGGTCTGCCAGTCCACAGGTACTGCCCCTGATCTCCACGCAACATTGCAAAGGCGTGTCAACCAGGACAGCCCTACAACGTCCAGAGCCTTCAGGAACTCGGGGCGGACCTCGTCAACACCAGGGGCTCTGCCACCAAGGAGTTGTTTAACTGCCTCAGTGACCTCGCCCCCGGAAATTGGCGGGTCATTCCCCTCATCCCCAGACTCTGCTTCCTCCTCGGAAGACGTGTCAGTGGGATTAAGGAGGTCCTCGAAGTATTCCTTCCACCGCCTGACAATTTTCTCAGTCGATGTCAACAGCGCTCCACCAGCACTATACACAGTGCAGGTAGAGCACCGCTTTCCCCTCCTGAGACGCCTGACGGTTTGCCAGAATCTCTTCGAGGCAGTCCGAAAGTCTTTTTCCATGGCCTCTCCTCCCACACCCGAGTTTTTGCTTCAGCCACTGCCTGAGCCGCATTCCGCTTGGCCTGTCGATACCTGTCAGCTGCCTCCGGAGTCCCACAGGCTAACCAAGCCAGATAGGACTCCTTCTTCAGCCTGGTGGCTCCCTTCACCTCTGGTGTCCACCATTTGGTTCGGGGATTACCACCACGGCAGGCACCAACCACCCTGCGGCCGCAGCTCAATGCAGCAGCTTCGGCAATGGAGACGCTGAACATGGTCCATTCGGACTCAATGTCCCCAGTCTCCCTCGGAATGCTGTTGAAGCTCTGCCGGAGGTGTGCGTTGAAGATCTCACGGACTGGGGCCTCTGCTAGACGTTCCCAGCACACCCTCACTACGCATTTAGGTGTACCAGGTCTGTCCAGTGTCCTCCCCCACCACCTGATCCAACTCACCACCAGGTGGTGATCAGTTGACAGCTCAGCCCCTCTCTTTACCCGAGTGTCCAGAACATATGGTCGCAGGTCTGGTGATACGATTACAAAATCGATCATCGACCTACGGCCTAGAGCGTCCTGGTGCCACGTGCACTTATGGACACTCTTATGTTCGAACAGGGTGTTCGTTATGGCCAAACTGTGATTAGCACAGAAGTCCAATAACAAAGCACCGCTCGGGTTCAGATCAGGGAGGCCGTTCCTCCCAATCACGCCCCTCCAGGTCTCGCTGTCGTTACCCACGTGAGCATTGAAGTCTCCCAGCAGGACAACAGAGTCTCCAGGTGGAGCACCTTCCAGCACCGAATATCGGATGACGATATAAAAACATCTATCGTTTCATTTTACGCTATCGTATAAATAAACTGTTTACAGTAATATTTTTTAATATTTCTCTTATATTTAATATAACCACACTACGTACGGACAAGCGCCTGTTTTTATGCGTTGTCGTTAGCAACAACGACGGTAACACCATCGCGTGTCCGCTTGTTTATGTTCCACATAAACCTTTCACAATAAAGCTCAAGATCCTGTTGAGACTTTTCAAAATAAACTGAATCACGTGAAAGAGCAGAGTATTTACGGATGAGAATTAAAAAAGAGCCGCCAGGTGCTAAAAAATAAACCTTAGACTCAAACGTTAGAACAGGCTTTTCCCCGCAGCACGCCGTGTAATAAATACTCACAAAGAAAACGGCGGCCGTTACAACTTATGTCTAAAAATGTATAGTTTCATGCATCAGTTAAAACACTCGACTCCAGCTACATGACGCGCAGCTGGAAACGCTTCACGCAAGTCGAGCTGCCCGAGATTCACAGAATTTACAGAAAATGTAACATTTTTGTGATTTATATCGTTATCGGACGATAGAATTCTTATATCGGGATATGAGATTTTGGTCATATCGCACAGCCCTATCTGACATTGGCTGTTTTGCTTCCACCACGATAAAAATCACACTTCATGCACAGCTGTCTCTCTCACTCTCTCACTTTCCCGTCTCAAATCTCTGTTTTGTGCATTATTCATTTGCTCATTACCCACCAGTCTACCGTTGTTTACAGCGCTGTCGGTCGCCGTCTATTTTTTTTTTTTTATACCTCAAATGACCTCGAACAAGAAAGCCTGTTCTGCTGTTCAGTACTGAAGAAATGTAAACTTTATAAAATTATGCAAAATCGCAGAATAGTTTTAAGGTTATCTGCTGTAAAAAGCCAGGCCAGGAAAATTTCCTTCATGTCATAGAAATCAGTGATGATACCCAGCCCTAGTGAGTAGCCTAGGCCCAATAGAAGTGGATGTAGCTGTGGGTAATGAGAAAAGATGAAAAGAACTATTGATAACTTTTTTGTTAAGTCCCGATCCGTCTGAAATTCATAGCCAGTGCTCTGACACAGAGCCATCAACCTCTGAACGCTGAAAAAGCACAATGTATCCAGAAAACACATATGTCGTGATGAATGCACTGCGCAAGTGTCCCCTCTCACCACTGCCTTTCAGTGGCAGGCAGCAGCAAACAGGTCATCAGAGAAGGCTGATGTGATGATTAAGTTTAATATTATCTACAATATTGCCAAAGAGTGCCAAAGCACTTTAAGCACAAGCACAAGATTGTTAGTTAATCATTTACAAATCAATATTGTCTTTATGGACATCAATTTCCCCCCCAAAACTATACTTCAGCAATGAGCAGGGCAGTGTTGGAAGGAAATTGAATGCAAAACAATAACCAATATGCACATACAGGTAGAAATCTACAGGACTACATTTCCAAAATAAGAAATCCTTGGCTAAAGGCCACACTAGGTGTTTGGAAAATGGTGGCAAAAGAAATAAGCTGCAGAAGAATATAAAAATATTAAAATGGTGTGCATATGATTCGGAATTTACACCAAATCATGTAGACCCTAGTTTTAAAAACTGGATAGGTAAAGTAATTACATTGATATGCGGTATTGTAAAGGAAGATGAAATTGTGAGTTTCCAAACTTTAAAGCAAACATTTCATTTAGAAAACCAAAACAACTATAGATACTTACAGTTAAGAAACTTTTATACTCGAAACATTAAAAACCAAATACCCACTACAGCGAGGCCATTTATCCAACTCTTTTTAAATGCTCATAAGTCAGAAATTAGGAAAGGTGTAATCTCACAAATATACAAAAGTCTTCATGATCTCAGCAATTATTCAACCAAGTATATAAAAGAAAGATGGGAGAAAGAGGGAGGTCTGGTGATTACAGAAGAGGAATGGCAAAACATTTGTTCTTTTCATTGGAGAAGAACAAAATCACATATTTGGAAGTTCTGCTAGAAAAGTTTTGCTTGTTTTTTCATTACCCCAGCTTTAAAGACGCATTATGATGATGGAAGCAGTGAACGTTGGATGAACTGTGGCTATGAAACAGCACACCACTACCATATAATTTGGGATTGTAAGAATATTAAGAATTACTGGATAGAAGTCCATAAAGTGATGCAAAACATATTTAGTACATATTTACACTTTGATTTCAAATCCATATTTTTAGAATACATACCCTCAGACATAAAGGGTATGGATAAATACTTACTTTGTGTGCTGCTAGCTGCAAATAAAAAGGCACTGACCAAAAGGATCCACCAACATTAAACAGCTATATTGATGTAACTTTGGAGATTCATAATATGGAAAAGATTACTTATTTTAGTGAATTTTGAGTATGAGAAATATGTAAAACACTGGGGAAAATGGCTCCACTGTGTGAGTTCCATAAGGCCATCATTGATCATCAATATCATTGATATTCATCACTGAAGGACTGGCTGTCTAAATATTTGTTTATTTTGTTTGTTTTTTATAATAACGTACTAATCAGCTACTTAGTGTGTTGGCTTTTCAGTTGCCCTCTCTCTGGATGTATATAGTTACAAACTGTATCTAGTGGCATTTGATTAAAGCATTTATTCAATACATTCCGTATATAGTTTGAGTTAGGTTGTTACACATATGAGAGTGGCTTCTGTCTGGTAAGAGGTCATGAGTTTAGTTGGCGAGGGGAGACAGAGTGCATTTGAGGTCGAGACACACACACACACACACACACACACACACACACACACACACACACAGTAGGTAGACTCATTTCTAGGTAAAAGTTCAGGCCTAGTTTGCAAAAAAAGTGTACATGTCAAACTGCAGTGTTAAGTGAGGCGCTTGAAAAATTTGAGTGTGCCTAACTAAGGTAGTCATCTACCCTGCTGAAAATTGTCTCATTCAACTAGTTCAACTTCAACAAAAGCATTTAGATTAAACTTAATCCTATATCATCTCTTAGGAGAAACAGGAAACTTTATGCTTGACAGAAATAGTTTTATTTAAATGGAGATTTTCCCACATCGCCCTGTTAGAAGACAGCATTTAACTTGGGTATATTTCAACAAGAAATGAAAGTTGTTACTGTCAATACTGCCTGTGACCTCTCATTTCTTGTTTTAGAGGAGAGTTTCAATTTTGTGATGGTGGACGAGGTGGGAGAGACTGTGGAGAAGGAGGCGGTAATTACCAGGACAAGAGGTCGACCCAGGAAGAGAACCAGGCAGACCCCGGGTCAGTGTTGGGAAGGTTACTTTTAAATTGTATTCCACTACAGATTACATAATACATGCACCAAAATGTAGTTTGTAATGTATTCTGAATACTTTGGATTACTTAATATACTGTCATTGCTTTTCACAACTACATGAATGTAGCAATCAGATCCTGCAAATTCCTGTTTGTTTTTGGCTTGTAAGCCCAAATCTGTCTGAATAGACAATATATTTACTGTAGGGGAGAAAAGACTTATGTTAACATAAGATAAGATGTTTGCTCAGTGGCGAGTAGCCTTCAGTAATAGTAATAAGTCACGTAGATACTGAAGTGGCACATAACCCAGGAAGCTACCACAACTAAAGCAAGGTAGTTGCAGCAGGCTAACGTTAGTTTTTAAAAAAGAACTTCCAGATGTTTCTTTAGGTTGGAGCCTTTAGACCACGGGTGTCAAACTCAATTGCACAGGAGACCAAATATCAAGGCACACTTTAGGTCGCGGGCCAAACAAGATAAACATTTACTGAACACTAAAACAATGTTTTTTAAACATGAATATGAATTAAAAACAGACAGGAATATTATTCCAGATTAAATAAACTTTAAAAAAAAAACAACTTTAATTTTAAATATTTTGCTCTCCATAAAAATATATCCTGTCAAAATTCTGCAAGTTAGAAATATGAACATGCTGCCAAAACCCCAGAAAAAATAAATGAAAGCATTCACAAGGTTGGAGCCGCATGTAGACGGAGCTGCGCACTGCTTCAGGAGTGGAACTAATAACCCAAGGGCCATTCAGTGTTTAGTTGATGGTGTGTCGTACTTTTCCTTGAGAACTCTCCCATTAGAATGCAGCTCCATCTGAATCTGCACAGGTGCAGTTTCCACGTCAATTGTAAGTGGGTTGTGAAGCAGCTCGAAATTCTTCAAAGTCACCAAAGCACCGTGCGTGCTCAGTGCACTCAGTTTATCAGCAAAGTGCGCTGACTTGGTTCAACATTACTTGGCAACAGGGAAAGTGAGGCAGGTTGCACTGGTGCATTTGTGACAGCTTCACTTGAAATGCCTTCACCACATCATACATGCCATGTCCATGAACTGACAGGTTTCCTTGCTGAGCTCAAAACCTCTATTGAGAACTTTTATCCCAACTCAGCCAACGGACCTCTGTATGATGAGGAATGTCGGCAAACTCTGAATCTATTTCCCACATAAAAGACTGAAACTGACGATGATTTAAACTTTTAGCTCAGATAAAATTTACGGTTTGCGTTACGGTGATCATTACATGCTCCATTTTTAGGACTTTACCACACAGCCTTTCCTGGTGTGTGATGCTGTGATATGCTGTTAACTCACCGGTACAGTTCTCCTCCTGCATCTTTACTCACATCCTGCTGACTAGTCTGCTTTTTTTCACCGTACAACACCAGCGCTCCATCTGTTGTGAGTCCAACAAGTTTGTCCCAGAGCAGTTTCATGTCGGTTACACTTTGACATACGTTTCTGCTCAGGCTCACATTTGCCAAAATCTGCGTTTTGTCTGGACACAAGATGTTGCACACCTTCATCATGAAGCTCTTCAGAGTGCAAGGCTGATGTGGCTTTCTCCTCTGATGCAATAAAACTTGCTTTCACAACAGCTTCACTTTGTGATTTTGCTCTGGTGAAAAAAGTCTGCCGACATGTCAGATTCTTCTTTAGCTCTTCTACTTTCTGTAGTTTCTGCTCTGCATTTAGGTTTTTCGGCTTATTCTGACGTTTTGTCTCGTCTTAAATTAAATTCCTTAATTACAGCCACATTAGCTCCACTAATAAGACACACAGGTTTACCAGCATGTCTGTAAACATATATTCAGTCTCCCGCTGCCGACGCTGAAAGGCTCTGCTTTCAGAATCAACTTTCCATCTCTTGTGCTGTCTCCGGGTCGTGTAACTGGCGCACATACACAGGACACTTACATTAGACCCTCTCATTGTGTGTTTTGTTTGGGTTTCCAGCAATGTACCAAAAGTAGAGAGGGCCTAACATATGAAACAGAAAAATACTGCAGTTTAATCCATTTATTTCAATAAATTATCACCTATTTAAGCGGTAACTATAATGGAATACAGTTACTCATATTTTGTATTTTAAATATGTAACATCCGTACATATATTCTCCAGTGGCTGGCATCTGGGATAAAGTCGTGTCAGAGCTCTGAGACATGAAGCTTAATTAATCTGTTGTTTCCTCCCACAGTGAGAAAATCTGCTAGAGGGAAACCAGAGAGCACAAAAGATGAGACGGAAGAGGAGGAAACAACAGAACCACTGCTTCCAGCTTCTGTTTATCCCACTTTATCACAGGACCGAGACTCATCTGCACCGCCAGGTGACGGCCAGGCGGAGAGCCAGAGGACCGAAGAGGAAGCAGAGACCCAGCCTGATGCTGCACCTGCCTCTGCTGGACAGCAGCCAGAGTCTACGTGTCCTGATAAGGAGACAGAGCAGGGAGAGGAGAAGGATGGATGGAGCACGGTTGGCATTAAAGGTACAAAGAGCTGCTTTAAATCAACAAAATGCATCACTCTGACAGTGAAAACACAGTAAACTGAATATTAAAAGAAAAATTGTATAGCCTGCTTCTGTTAGCCTACTAATAGCTTTGAGATGCATTTCCACTACCTTGTGGTGGTGGTAATATGTTTTGTGGTTGGTGCTAAAGGCCCCAGTGTGTGCCAAGAATATATCCCACACCATCATCCGCCTGAAATTTTGATACAAAGCAGGATGGATCCAAGCTTTCTGACACTGCCATCCTAATGTCACAGCAGAAATGGAGACTTTTTTTTTCTTTTACAGCGTTGCTGATCCTGTGTGAATTGGTCCCTCAGTTTTACGTTCTTAGCTTAGAGAAGTGGAACCCAGTGTGGTCTTCTGCTGTTGCAGCTCATCTGCTTCAATGTTGGATGTGCTGTGTGTTCAGAGATACTCCTCTGCATACCTTGGTTGTAATAAGTGTTTATTTGAGTTATTACATTCTCATCTGAACTCAAAAGTGCATTTTCTTCCAGTGAACTGTTGCTCATTTTGTCTTTCAGACGATTTTGTGTAAACCCTAGAGATGCTTCTTTGGGAAAATCCCATCAGTGAAATGCTAAGATTAGCAAACATGCCACATTTAAGTCCACGAAATTACTTTTCTTCTTCATTCTGATGCTCAGTTTGAATTTCAGCAGGTCATCTGACCATGTCTACATACCTACATCACTGAGTTGCTGCCATGTGATTGGCCGATTAGAGATTTACATTAATGAGCAGTCAAACAAGTGTACCTAATAAAGTGGCTGACAAACATTTCACCTTTTCAAATAAATCAAAAATCATTTGTTTAATTACTTAAGTTATAATTTAATATTTTATAAACCCGGTGGCTCCTGCAGCAGATTTGTTGATGATTAAGGTGTTGCTCTTTCCATTTTCAGTTGTGGGTAAACGCAGGAGGGAGCTTGTTGGACCTGAGGCAAAGCGATCTCGCTCTCAGTCTCCGTGTGTTGTAGCAGACTTCAGACTGCCTCAGTTCAACCCCAATAGCCCCCTCGGTGAGACACACACATAAACACACACGCACGCGATTCAAATGCTGTGTTAACACTTGTCTAATTTTCCTGTTTCTACTCCTCTGCAGGTCAGGAGTTTGTGATCCCAAAATCAGGATTTTTCTGTAACATCTGCTCTGTTTTCTACCTGAATGAGAAGACCGCCAAGGAACTCCACTGCTGCAGCCAGAAACACTACAACAACTTGCAGGTACGCATGCGCACACACCATTCAGTACACAAAATCACACTCTTGGCCTAACGATGTTTGGTTTCTCACTTTTCTGTTTTTTTGTAGAAATATTATGAGAAACGTCGACAAAGAGCTTCAACAACGTCATCTCAGATGTCTCAAGGCTCCGTTTCTGACTGATGGACCTGATCTACTGATTATTTTAACACATCACTGTGGAGAACAAGCCAATGTTTTTGATCCTACTAGTTCAGAAACTAAACTAATCACCGTGTGGTACCTTTTGTTGTAAATGATATGTCTTCATTCATAAATTGTTTTGTTTTTGTTTGTACAGGCTGGTGAAGAGCACAGTTTTAAAATGTTGTTATTATTTTATCTTTTATGTGAAAATGTTATTGAAAAATTAATAAATTTACTTAACAGGTCATCAGGAGGTACCTGACAGGTGTTAATAGTTTATTAAATCTTTTTTTTTTTTTCTCATTTACATCTTTGGCTTCAGTTTCTTTAGAAGAAAAGGGTCCATCAACCTGAGTGTGTCTCCCACTTTCCAGACTCACTGGCTCAAGTTTGAAGCTGAACAAACCACCAAATTCGGTCAGAAGCTGTGAGGTTCAAAATGAGAAAGCTGAACTCTTGATAAGAGAGGTTTAAGGCTTAAGAGAATTTTAAGTGTCTGTGTCGTTGTTTTCACTCTTTAACCCAGCATTTTAACATTGAGACAGTAATATTATACATACCACATTTCATTACATGGCAAATCAGTGTGCTTAACGGAGAAGAACACAAAATCTTGGTTTACGATGCCAAATGGAAAACGGCAAAATCTAATTTCAAAAAAACAATGTCACCTTACTGCCACTAGAGGTCAGTAAATAAAGCCCAGAGTTTGTTTGAGGCTGGTTGAAGGCACTGAGATGTAAATACACTGTGCGGAGGTGGAGCAGTGCCTTGTGAGAACAACACATCTGCTTAACCTCCTCTCATAGTAGGTGTGGGGCTGGAGATGAGAATGGGAAAGCACTCAGACAACCGGACACAAAGACCCCAAAACACAAACAGGACAAGTAGACCATCAGTGGTACATTTATTTAAAATAAATCAGTCCCCTCATCAGAGTATATGATTCTTTCTCACGCACCTTTGTTTTGTGTCACCCTGTTTTTTTCATCTTTGATGACACAGAATTCCTGACTATCTTTCTGGTGTGCTATAATTTTATTATTTTTATATAACCGTTATTAGTTCCACACGTGGGAAATTTGTTTAGTTACAGCCTGTTAGGTTCAAAATTATTGGGGATGGAGACAAGAGAAAAACCACAATAACAACACTGGTCCGGTCGGGTTGAGTCAAACGATGATTTTAATGATCACACGCGTGGGAGATGGACACTGATGCAGACAGTCTCAGATCTCAAAATGGTGGAGCATTGCTCAAACTCTTATAGCCTCTGGTGCCTCCACCTTATCATAAAAGCCTAAACATTCACATGCTTTCTCTCACACAGCGCCTAAGCTACGACCTTGGCTCCCTGTTTATCTGCTCCTGCTGAGATGGGGCAGAAAACTCCAGTATGTTCTGTTCTCTTCTAATCAGACAAATAAGGCGATGACTTTCTGCAAACAGTATTTCTTATAACTCAGCAGTATAATGCATCATAAAACAACATCATTCATTCACAATAAATCAGCAGTCTAATATAATGCAAATCAGTTTAACTGATGCAATAGTTATCAGCTTCTTCTAATTCAGGAGAATAATGCAAACTAAAACTACATAATAATTCACAATCTTTAATTAGGGGTCTAACATGGCATAAAATAATATTATAATCTAACAAGCCAAAACTGGACAGTGCAATGTTACAGCAGCGAAAATTTAGAAAAAATACTGCAATATATGATAATAAGAATAAGATACTGTACACAATAAAACAGAATAAAATACAATTTAGTCAGAAAAAGAGAATTGCACTTCGTGTTATTGCACATGTGTGGATTTGTGTGTTTGGTCAGCTGCAAAATCTTTGTTGTGGAGTCTGACAGCTGTAGGAAGGAAAGACCGGCAAAATCTCTCCATCCCACATCATGGGTGCCAGAGCCTGCCACTGAAGGAGCTGCTCAGTGCTGTCAGAGTCTCCTGCATGGGCTGGGAGATGCTGTCCAACAGGGATGACGGCTTAGCCTCCATTCTCCTGTCACTCACTGTTAGAGAATTGTAGATCAATATGGTTGTCATTGTGCAAGATGATTAGATCTTTAGCAAGAATGCTCACCTCTTTTCTACACACTGGTTCGTTAAAAGGTTACGCCATACATGGGGTGACTAGGGACATCAGTGAAAGGTCACAGTGATATGTGGTGTAGCAGAAAATGTCACACACATCACAGGCGTACATGTTCACATGTGAGTGTCTTAACTGTCATATGATAAATGAAATGTTTGTGTAACTACTGTTGTTGATAAAAGGACTGTGAGGGGAGGCCGAATTCAGAGTTGGCTGAGTTCGGGTGAAGAGCTTACAACTCTAGACCTGACTGGACTTCCCTTGCAAGTAAAAACCGATGGAGCTCTGAGTGTCTTGCTTCCTTCACAGTAACAGGCCACTGAGACAGCGAGGTCTGCAAGTTTAGACCTAACACTCACCATCTCCACTGGGTCCAGAGGGGATCCTAGAACAGAGCTGGCCCTCCATATCAGCCTGTTCTCTTCCTGTCCCCAGCAGAGATGCTGCCACCCCCGCAGACAACACCGTAGCAGATGGCCTAGGCCAAGGGTCAGCAACCTTTAACACCCAAAGAGCCACTTGGACCCGGTTTCCACGCAAAAAAAACACTGGGAGCCGCAAATACTTTTTGAAATCTAAAATGAAGATAACACTGTATATATTGTTGTTTTTTTACCTTTATGCTTTGTGTGAACAACTAAAGTAAGTAAAGTTTATTTATTAAGCGCTTTTCACAGACAGTCAGTCACAAAGCGCAGTACACAAATATTAAATTAAACAATACAATCAATAGATATTGTACACAATGTAAAAGATCAAATGTAAAGAATGTAAAGAATATAAAATACGTAGATCAACAAAAGGCTTGTTTGAAAAGAAAAGTTTTCAGCTGCTTTTTAAAAGAATCCACAGAGCAACTAAGGTGTGTTGCTTATGAAATCCATGAAGTGCTACAGAGAAAATTACATTTTATTTATGTAATTAACACATTTTGAACTCTTAAAGGAATATAACAAAAGGAAAGACACCCAGCTGAACTAATCCATGTAGCAAACAAAAACTGTTGTGAGCTGCCACCCTCATTTCGCCTTTGGGCTTTTGGAGCCTTGACCTGACTTTTCAAAAGTAATGAGAGCATGAGGGTGGTAATGGATGTTTGTGTCTGTGTGTGCCTGTATGTCTGTGTCTATATGTCAGGTTGGGTATCAGACGCCACCTCTCTGGGGACATCTCAGGCCCTCCAAGGTATGGAGGCCTATCTCCCCCTACCACCACTTCCCCTGCCGGTGGCGGACTCCCTCAGACATCGGTGCATTGGTGGTTCTTTGTGTCTGGGGATGGGCGTCCAGGTACACACCGGCTCACTCCTTGGCGGCCGCTTATCGGGGCCTGGAGCCTGGGGCTCGCTCGGGCCACTTCGGAGGTAGGGTGCCCTCGGCCTGAGGCTCGGTCACTCAGGCACAGCTGGCTGCCGGCGGAGCTCACGGGCGCGTCACTGCAACTCCCCCTGGCTTCTGCTCCGCTCCTGCTGAGTGACCCCTCATCTGGGACTCTCCTCAGCTCTTTCAGGGACAGTGGCGCAGCTGCCCCTCTGTGGGTCTTCCTTGGTCTCTTGTGTTCTGGGGGCCTCTGGATGTCTGGAGTTTTGATCTCCATACCTGCTTCATGCCCTGGAGGACGGGGCTGTGCCCCCCCCCCCCCCCCCCCGCCCCCACCCTCTAGCAGATCATTACATGAAGGAACGCGCTTTTAAAAAAACAAGCGCGTTCATGCTCACAGGTGTACACACGGGTGATCACACCCACAAACTACACCCCTTTTGGCTCCTACCTCAAAGCACACTGTGTTCTGTTGATCTTATGTGCTGCACAATAATGTTTAATATTTAGTATTTACTGTCATATTCCCATATATCATTGTGATGTTGTTTATTCTATTACTCTTGTTCTCTTCTGCTTGTTTTCTGCTTGTGGTCAATAAAGAGATGCTGAAAAGCATGTTCATGGAAACATCGTCGGATCTGCCGTGGTATGTTTACAATAAGACTTATGGTCCCAAACCTCTGCGCATAGCGTTTGCAAATCGGGGCTTCCATCTTTACGGAGGACTAAGCAGTCATCATTCAATATATTAAAATTTTATGAATAAAAGGGGAACTTGTGATATTATTACTTGTGACTGCATTAGTATTATAATTATTTGGCAGAAAGCTTATTTCAGGGAGAATCATACCTTATTTCCCCCCTTTGCCATGCTTCCTTTTCGCAAACTTACTCATGTCTCACAGTCACAACATAAATTATATTTCTATAATGTAAAATTAATCTGTGCAGCATTGGTGATGGGGTGTAAAAGTAATTTCACATATTAAAATGCAGGCTGTGTTATAGTGGTAAAAAAAGATATGATAGATCATCATCAAGGACATTTATATATGAGTTGTTTTCCTATGGAAATAGCGCCACCGTATGAAAAATTAATTATAGTACACTTATCCTGCGGCCACTATAAGCCATCACAGAGAAAGATGTAGTGAAACTTCCAATAACACACTCAATAAAACATTTAGAACTCACAGTTGTATTTTTCTAAAAACTAAACAAATTTTAAAAAAGAAAAACAAGTGCTAATTCCTTCTAATAATAAGAATAATATCAATAGTATGATGCACGGAATGCGTTAGTGGAATTACGACAGTATCTTGAAAGTTGTCGTTTCCCTTCGTGCTTTTATTTTGAAGGCAGACAATTGAAACGGAAATCGTTGCGCTGGGTCACGTGGTTAGCGTTTCCTTTCCGTTAGCAAAGCTGTAGATTGCAAGAAGTTCTTCGTGAGGATTCATTTGAGCACATCAGAACAAACGGATTCCACACATATAAAGCACGGTATGTACCCCGAGTTGTTGTAAAAAAAAAAAAAAAAAAACCCAAACAAACCTGCAAGCGATCAGCTTTTCCTTACAGCCGCTGTTTGTCGAGTTGTGGTGGTTAGTGATGGGCAGATGAAGCCCCATGAAGCACTGAAGCTTTTCATCCAATTGGTTCACCCCAACGCGAAGCTTCATGAAGCTTCATTTGCTCTAGCAGGACACCTACTGGACGTAAAAATAATAGCTGGCATGAATTTGAAGAGTGTGGCATTTTGCACACAGCCTGTAAATGTCAACAACAAAAGGAGTGTGTAAAACATGTATATTGTAGTGATGGCAGTATACTGTGTATATTTATAGTGGCAGTATGGGAAATGATTATTTGGAAATGCTTGAAATGGAAATGATCATTTACTGTGAGGTGAGGTGTGGTTGGGGTATGGACAGTGGTTGTGCTTTTGTAACGTTGAGGTATGGACAGCTACACACTACCTGTTCACATTTTATTCTGTAAAAACTAAATTTTCACTGCTTTTATAACCTTTAGTGGGGAGAACATAGCTAGGATTTAATGATTTAACAAATCTTTTGAATCCTTTGTCCTCCACAATGCTAAATGGCTGGGAGTCCTCAATCACCATGCTGACCAGGTCTTCATCTATTGGAGATTGTTCTCCTGAGGAAAGACAATAAAGATAAAGCACAAATATAAATATCACATACGTAACTTATAACAGTTGTATAATATTGTTATATCATTTAGTAACATTACTGCATCCTATATTATCATTGCATTTGATGGCTCACCTGGTCTTGCTCCACAATCAGTGTCCCCCTTATTCTCATGCAAAGCTCTGTAGTGCCTAAGCATGGATATGGTGTTGTTGTTGTTATATCCCAGCTCCCTGGCACATAGAAAACACTTCATCTTGTACAAAAGTCAAGACAGCTCAACATAAATTGTATTGCACCATCAGTATCATGAAAATACATCTTCTGTAGAAATTTACATACCTTGTTGGGAGGAATAAGATCAAAATGTTCCCACACAGGGGAGGACATCCTCCTCTTCTTAGCTGGCTCCATTCTCTCCTGACTTTCCTCACTCTCATAAACCTCCAAACGGTCTCCAAACTCTCACTAACCGCAACTCTCCATCAAACACCCACATTTTTGAATGAAGTCTGAGGGGTTTATATCGCTGTCATATCTCGCGGCAAAGTTCGAACCACTTCATGAACCAGTCACGTGGTACAGCCGGGCAGCGAGGCTTCGGACGTCATCATTTTCAGCTCCTCCCATAAATGAAGCAAGCCTCGATACGCGCTTCGCGGAAACGCCCCCTCCATTACTCGACACACGCTCCGAAGCCTCGATACAGAACGTCCCATCACTAGTGGTGGTAGTTTGTAAGCGGGCCTGCAGGACGTTGCATTGCTCCTCGGTAGCTGCATACATTGCCTTGCCTTTTTGCCTCCTTGTGGCTGGACTGGTGGATTATGGTCTCGCCTCATATCTCACTGCTGCACGGATTTTGCGCAATCCGACTTAACTCAGTGGCATGACTGTCGTTATCCCACGTATCTCCGCAGCCACCGTTTTCCTTTATTTTCATTGCAAGCTAGTTAGGTGGGAAAACCCACGGGAACAGCCATACTACACTATGTGACTGCATTAGTATTATAATTATTTGGTATATAGCTTATTTCAGGGAGAATCATATAGCTTATTTCAGGGAGAATCATACCTTATTTCCCCCCTTTGCCATGCTTCCTTGTGTGGACGCTTCACCTCTTTGCTCTTGAATGCTTTGCTTCTTATATTGATTTTTATTGATTTTTATGCTGATTTTTTCCCTTTTTTCCGTGTGAGCTTACCTGCGATAACTTCTGGACACTTGTAGATCATTAGGACTAGAGTGTTCTTAACAGAAACAGCAACATTTTATGGTTACCTTATCCTCAGCGCTCCGTGTGTCTGTGGCCTAGACACAGCTGAAGCCTGATTACAGCGTCTGGGCACCGAGCAGCCTCAATAGCCTGGAAAGGTGCTAACCGCTAGGCTAACTAGCAACAAGATGCCTTCCCTCTCCACAGATGACTACCACAGCCTCCTGCAGAAGATTGCAGTACTGGAGACAAAAATTCATCGCTTAGAAGTAAACGTGGAGGTAAATGGACTGTGTGGAAATGAAACAACCTTGCCTTTGATTCAAAACAATGGCGATGAGCAAGCTAGTACACAGCTAAGGAGCACAGATAACATGACCAAGAAAGTAGACTCTGTGCATTATTATAAATCCTCAAGTGATAATCCCCCCTTAGACTGTCTTGGTGCAAAACCAAGACATAAATCATGTCTCCTGGAAGGGGGAGGACGTATCACAGGCAGGGCACAGCGAGCTGAAATCTCTGAAACCGACTGGCCTTCACTTCCTACGAGACAGAGAAGCTCTTCTACCCCTGTATACGGGAGGAAACAGGACTGGACAACCGTGAATAGGAAGGTTAACAACAAACCTCCAAAACAACTGAATGTGAAACTGCAAAACAGATTTGCTCCACTATCAAAGGACCCTGGATCTATATCGGACAACCATCCATCTAAAAGCAGCGAAATAAGGTCTGAAAATCTGTTGAAAAGTGAAAGGCCACAGGGAAAGCTAAAGGCTAGGCCTGAAACTCTGATTGTGGGTGACTCTGCCGTAAAGGATGTACAAAGGATGTGCAGTAAGAACACTAAAGTCCTCTGCTTTCCTAACGATATGGTCAACAACCTGAAGGAGAGAATTCTTCAAATTGCAGATGAATATCCAACTGTGACAAACATTGTTCTGCATACAGGGTCAAACGATGTGTCCAAACAACAGTCGGAGGTTCTGAAACGGGACTTTACTAGATTATTAAATACTGTAAACTCTCTGAATGCAGCTGTATTCATCAGTGGACCTGTACCGCCGGTCAGAGGAGGAGACGAGAGATTCAGCAGGTTGTTTACACTGAATAAATGGCTTATATCAGCATGTGCTGACCACTCAGTGCATTTTATCGACAACTTTAATATTTTTTGGGAACGCAGGCATCTGTTCAAAGCAAATGGATTTAATTTTAACAAGTCAGGGGTGAAACTGTTCACCTCCAACTTGTTTTATTCCATACGTCATCCATCCGTGCTTGGTGCCAAGGCTGAGATAAACGAGGAGTTATCTCATAAAGAGGAACAAACAGTACTCCAAGAACAGACAAAGCCCAGCAGAAACCTTGAGGAGGAGCTCCATTTGCCCCCACCCGGGAAGAGCCTCAGAAAGGAGAGACATCTAAGGCAAGAAGAGGGGTCCCTATTTGCCTCCAACTCTCTCAACAACACCAACGACCAGGACAAGGGACCACGACCTTCCCCAGTCCCCCAAACCCCTGACAGGCCATCACCCTCCTCCCCCTCCCTTTCTCCCTCCTCCCCACACCTGAAATTCACTGAGGAGATGATGGAGCAGGTCAATGCTGGGCTCAGATCTACCCCCCGTCCCAATCCCTTTTTGTCCCCCATAAACCCCCCACCAGAGCGGCCAAAGGTTCGCCATCGAGCCCCACCCTCAACAGAGCAATCGAAGTCACATTGCCCAGCCTCGCCCCCCTTAGTTCCTCTTCATGCCCTGTCTCCGCAGTCTGATATGTGATATGTGAAGGGTCCGGGCTGTGAGGATTATGGCAGTGATGACTTTTCCCAGGAGAAGCTGGGACCCTGTTTACTAGAAGGTTTTAAAATTTCTGTACTTTTAGGTGACAGGAGACATGTGGCCTGGTCAAAACACAGAGAGCTGCACTCTAAAAGATCTTTAAACATAGTAAACATACCTTGTGTGCCACAGACTGCTCCCAAACATGAGGGGACAAGTAATACCTCTAAAACACTTAAGTTGGCTTTATTAAACATTAGATCTCTAGCTGGGAAAACATTTTTAATTAATGATTTAATCACTGAGCACAGCCTTGATTTTATGTTTTTAACTGAAACTTGGTTGGACCAAAGTAACAGTGGAGCTGTTCTCATCGAGACGACCCCTCCTAACTACAGTTTTATCAGTGAGGTCAGGGCGAGCAGGAGAGGAGGAGGGGTTGCTGTCTTATTTAATGAATCATTTCAATGTAAGCAGCTATCTCCTGGAAGTTTTCAGTCTTTTGAATATGTGGCTTTACAGCTGAAGGCCCCATCCAAAGTTGTGTTTCTTAATGTTTACATGTTTCCCAAATACTGCACAGACTTTTTTAATGACCTCAGTGAACTGCTGTCTGTGATCTGTGTTGATTTTGACTGTGTAATTATTGCTGGGGATTTTAACATTCATGTGGACAACCCTCAGGACAAAGGGACTAAAGACCTGAGTAACACTCTGGGCAACTTTGGGCTGACTCAGCATGTAACAGAGACCACACATAATAGAGGACACACTCTTGACCTACTGATCTCCAAAGGCCTGAGCATTTCAAAGGTTACTGTGTCTGATGTGGGCTTATCTAATCATTACTGTGTTTTCTTTGAAAGTAAAATCTCAGCCCACACAAATATATCAACAACAGTGATCACAAAACGGTGTATAACTGAACACAGTAGTGCAATTTTTAACCAGGTCTTCCCATTAACACCTGACCTGCCCAGAGGGTCAGTCAATGAGCTCGTCAATAGCTTCAATGCTAACATGTTAAATGTAATGGACACTATTGCTCCCATTAAGGTGAAGGTTATCTCTGGAAGGAAAAAGTCTCCATGGAGAAACTCCACACTGGTGAAAAATGAAAAAAGAGAGTGTAGGAAAGCTGAGCGCAGATGGAGAAAAACAAACCTCCAGGTTCATTATGACATCTATAAAGAGAAACTTCACAATTATAATTTACAACTGAGGAATGCAAGGAGGTCCTACTTCTCTGACATCATCACTAAAAACAGCCATAATGCTCGGGTCTTATTTTCTACAGTTGACAGGCTAACAAACCCTCCTGTGTCAGTGGCAGCTGAACT